TCCTTGAAGTTTGAGTTATCTTTGATGATACTGCATTTTTTTTAACACTGGAAAAACACTTTTTTTACACTAAGGTTTTTATAGTCACATTAAAATGTAATTTTGAATATTTTCTCTTGTTTATCGTATGAAAAAGATTAACCTCGATCTGAAACAGTCAAAATCTAACTAAATTTTTTAATCTAAGAGTAAAAGTCAGACATTCAATTGTAAAATTAATTGAAGATTGATAATTTCAATTAAACTATAAATCAGAAAAATCCAGATTTTGAAGCATCATATCTAATCTGAGACATTTCTGCTGTATTTGAGACTTATTTTTGTAATCCAAGTCTGCAATCACCTTTTTTAGTCATCAATGTCTGACTTTTTATATATTTATGGCGAGCATGCTATAAATAAGCTATATTTTCATAAGCTATGCCTAGCTTATGAAAAAACATTATCATTTTTGACATTGCATGAAATATTAAAGTAAAAGTGTTAAAAATATTTTTTAGGATTTTGATATTGCATTATTTGTGTATTATAATGTTCAGCAAAAAAGGTTTTTTGATAGGTTTCGTGAGGAAAAAAAAATTCTTTTAGAAGTAAAAAATCAAATTTAATAAAGCAGAATGGGTTTACATATGAATTTTTTTTATCATAAAGCTTTAACGAATTTTCATCTCAAGATCAAAAAATGTAAAAGTTGAGGAGTAATCTTGCAATTGATTGCAATATTTCATCGGGTACACATACTTTCATTTCTATGAAAAAATAGAAATGAAGATATGTGCCTTTTGGTTTAATATATCATCTTCCTCTCCTTTTTAAAAATGAGAAACAATGTAGTCACAAAAAGTTGACTGAAAAATCTATGAACTAAAATAATCATGATGGATAAATCATTGATGCTTGAAACTGCACTTAAGATAATGCTAATTACTATACAAGATCTAGCTACAGTAGATGTAGTCTTTGTGGTCATTGATCGCATCGTGAAGTTTGGGCGTAAAATTCATGAGAACGTATCAATTCTAACAAAAAAAGTGTTATTTTTTAAGCTGAGGAACAAGTATTTTGACTTTGTACTCATATATGGTGGTCACTGCACTGCTCTGCTACTGTGCACTTGTTTTGACCATCTCATAAATAGGAGCAGTCGTTAGAACATTGATCCTCCTTCACGACGTCCTCAAACCGGCATCGACTTATGTACATCAACCTCTATCTGAAGGATCTTCTGAAGATTAAAATTTCTTAATAAACGCGTACATTCCGGTGGCAACTGAGATCTTGACATGTTCGCAACTGAATAAGCAGCAGAGAATCCGATCTTGAGGAACAGCAGCGTACTCCTTGAGAATGAAACCGTGTTGAACATCTGCAGATCTTCTTTCTTCCTTATCTTATGCTTGTGAGTTATTTTTATCGTCAAACTTGAAGAACAAATAGACAATTGGCGATGACTCTGACCCGTCCGACTGTTGACAATCCTTCAGAAAATTAGCTCGCTCTTTCGCCTGCCGTATGGTGGAATCAGATGAAAGCGATGTTCAGCCCCGGCGACGTATCACAACGCACTCTAACTGGCTCTAGGGTTAAGGAATGGAGCCACATGTGTTGTCACGTTGCCGCTCCTCTAACTCTCGCAGGTTGAAGAGAGATTTCTGGACTGTTGAAGAATTGCAAGAGTTCGCCTAAATCAGATAGTGGTGGCGATGTGTGGGGCCAATGGAGAGAATTTGGCACATGTGTTGCAATTTGCGGGTGGCTGAACTTAGCAGCGTGGACTATTTGGCACTCATGATTTAAAAGTGGCCGATCTTCTGATGGTCAGCAATGCTGCTGTTGGATCTCCCGACAAGGAAACTACTTTATTTAGCTTTTCGAGTTGTGTTCCGCTTTGAGAAAATACCTTCGACAGATTTACATCTTTCGAGTTTTCTGACAAAATTGAGAACTCTGTCTAAAGAAGATAATACGATACCTCTGATAAAACTATTAAACCGAGGAGAGCTAGAATTGGGGAAGGTAGCACATGTGCAACTGGAATTACTGAAAATTCAAGAGATCTAGAAGGTGAATGCTGTCAGGGACTCAAGCTGGGAGAGTGAAAAGTCGAGGGCAGAAATTCGCGAGCTTGGAGTCGAAGTAGAGTGCTACAAGGCTATTCCGTTCATTTATGAATCCCTTGGGTAAATAAACTTTTAGAAAGATATTACGATAACGTACATTGCTGAAATATTCCCGAGTGAGAACGTATTTCTAATGAGACGTTATATATATATCCATGCGAACAAAGCGACAATCAAAGGCAGCTTGAGTCAATCTCTGTTTGACGAATGGATGTTCTAAAATGATCGTTGGCACATATCGCTGTGGGTCGGACATGTGGAACGGCCGCTGTGACGGTTCGTGCAAACTTTATCATTCTTTCAGTCTTAAGAAAACTTCATTGCCATGTTTCAAATCTAACCATATCCGAACATGGGTTAGACGTGCCGTGAAAATCCTATATCATTATATAGAAGATATTTGTTCATAATTCATTTCAGTAATAATCTGTGGCTAATAGATTTTATCGGATTCTCGTATAGCTCCTTAAATTTCAAACGAAGTATGAGTAACCTGGGTAGGAGTCAAAATGTATAAACTATGGAACTCCTTCTTACGATGAAGACGACCAATTTTGGATCAATATGATATGACCAAAGCCTTAATTTAGAAATCGAAGATTCTCCTCCACTTATAAGACGTGAGGAATAAAGCTTATCAAATGTCAATGATAGCAGGCCAAACATGAACAGGTCAGGCAAATTACGTACGAGTTTTTTAATCATAATCAATCCAGTTCGTTAGACTGCCGCAAGAATCACCAAATTTAAAAGATAAAACGACTGTTTGAGCCGCGGTGCCCTGCGATCTCGTGGACGAGGCCCTTGCAAAGGACTTGCCGCGAGCGTGAGTGGCAGCACATACGCACCTCTTGAACATCAGGCTTCAGGGCCCGGCAGCAGTGTGGACTCAAACGCTGGGCCTCGTCGCCCGTCGCCGCGGGGAGGGAGCACGAAATCCGCATGGGATAGGAAGCCATCGACGCAGCCTCGATCTCATCCAGGCGGCAGACGACCGTAGGCCAGGCCAGGCTAGGGCTCGCGGCTGGGCCCTCGAGGATTTGTCCAGCCGCGGAAGCGCGCTTTGCTGATGTGGCCACTCGAGTGCGACGCATGCACAGGACGTGGCCCCACCACCGACTTCGACGTACATAACCGGATAGTGCATGGCCTCGGCTCTTGGCGGCTGATGGAAACTCGCCAAACCTTGTGACCCGCTCGTTCCGTCGTTGCTGGTGCGTGCGATGCCTTCGAGCCGAAAGGACAAGAGTACACAAATGGCTAACCACGAAATCTGGCTCGGGCACGCAAGGATTAGGGAGGGTTACGAGGTGGGGCAATATAACCTACTGCAGCAGGTCACTCATTGTATCCCGACTGGCAATGACAGGTTACAGAAAAATCATAGACAAGGAAATTTAAACTTATAATTAACAGAGAAACCATCAGCAAATATTACTGGTATATTTACATAGGTTTTTATAATTAACATGATTGTCTTGAGCTAAACTTATCTAAAAAGATAAACTAGAACACCCTGACTTAATTGTATTAACCCCTACTTGTACGTCTAGTATTTTGCAAGATGATTTACAAAATTTGTAAGTAGAACTTCTGTGGAAAATCAATCGTCTTTTCCGAGCACTTTCAAGTGGGATTGAGAGTCCGTCTGCCATTTCTCGTCACGCCTTACCTGGAATACACGTTAGACGCCCATGCGGGGAACCTCTCCCCGTTACGATGCTTGCTCGACGACCCACGGGGAAAAGGGCCCCTGGTCTTCAGGGCAGCCCTCCATCCAAAAGTTCTGCCTCGGCAAGGGGATTCGCGAGCCATGCGAATGCGACTGGAGCCAGGTTCGGAACCGGACCAGACTGGTGTCGTTGGTCAACCTCACCCATGACTCGGTTGGGTTACTCGGTTGCGTCGTAGTCGTAGGAGAGGATTGCTTTTGTGACGCTGCAAGATCTCTGGAGGAATTGATGTTGTTGCAGGATAGGGTGGGGGCAAACTCGCAGTTCGTTCCGCGTACTGCGACGTGATTCTGTCAGCGATGATGAGATCGGACGGTTATACATCATCGTGTCGTAGAATTTAGAGCATGTGTACGCATATCGGAGTGGATGAAAAAGGAACAAGGAAGGAGAGGGAGAAAGAGGGTTGAGGAGGGGGAGGTACGTTTTCTGGATTCTTCTCGCCGCGCGGACGTTGCGTAGCCCACGTCCGAGAGCTCCCGCACATTGTTGAGCGCGTCCACCCGCGAACCGTCCTACGCGGACATGGAAGCGACCTCGTTGGCTCGTTAGCTGCTGTTGACCATGGGGAAGGTTCATGCAGGAAACGATCGACGATTTTGTGGAACCAGAGGCGGTACATCATTGCTCCGTTCCGCCCCGAGTCCTCGGACATGCGAGCTGGTTCATTCACTTCCAAACTTCGTGAGCTCCATTGTCCTTTGGTGCTTCTCCAAACAATTTTCATTTATTGCTCCTCCAGGATATCCGTGACTTTATCTGATCGTGGAGGTTATGGTCCTCCATCAGGGCAACGTCCAAAGTCATGTGGGCTTCGATTGGACTGGACCAGGAGGCACGATTGACCCTCCGATGTGGATATGCCTTTATACTATCGATGAGTTTCTTTAGAATCAGAGTTATAAATTTAGAAAATGTCAGAGCAGATAAAAAGATGAGAGAATCTTTGCAAGTCGTTCGTTGGTCTTTAGCCTCGAGAGAGAGTCCGCGCCCAGCGACATCTCCTATCCCAGCTCGAATTAGTAAAAGCGCAAACAGTGGTGCAAACGTCAGTGCTCTATCCGTTGCTGGTGTCATCACAAATCGTAGCGCAAGCAGAGACTCAAACGGAGAGACAGACCCGAGAAGAGAGACGGCGGAATGGGGTTACTTGAAAGAATTCCAGCTCTTTTACCAAAACTTTTGATTACGAGGAAAGCCGTCAAGAAGGGCCAGAGTTTGTTCTCTATCAGCTCATCTGCTCTCGACTCATAATTCCAGCGTCTCTCCACAAGCAGGAGGGGGCTACTACAACCTCGTTCAACTCAACTTTCTCCGATTCCTGCCCGCATTTGGCCTTCGACTGAGACGCGCTCTGGTCGGAAATGCCCAGCGGAGAATGCTACTCTAAGTATCAAACATAATTTACCATTAACAACACTCAGACATAAAATCTACAACTGGAATTCTTCTCTGAACCTAATTAATATACTGTACACTGGCACCTAGAGCGCTTCTGAACCCGGCAGACTGACTCGCCTTGCCCTGAGTTGCACCAGTCTCGTCGGCGGATGGATGAGGGAGTCTCGTTTGTGCTGATGCACGGCGTTCTCGAGCAAACGATGATTGCGTAGGGCTGCGGCTGCGGGGGGGATTTTTTATGTACAGAGAGGAGTCCGGAGGTCATGGGAATTGGCTAGCGGCTCCAATTCGCGATCCTCGCTGAACTCGGGGTAAGGATCCGCGCTGCTTCCGGTTGCCATGGTCGTCGCTATGTGTAGTAGTTAGTAGTGGGAGCTTCAGCTCCCGTGGGATTACAGCTCGAGCAAAGGATTGGCGTCCTTGGGATGAGTACAACGGCCGATGAATAAGACGACTCCGGTCGCGTCTTCCCTGATTAGATACAAGAACGGATGGTCGGCAACGAAGTCCATCTTGTACAGAGGCTCGATTGCGCAATTCGATACGCTCCGACCGTAGACAGGAGCTGCTACGGGCTCGCCTCCATCCTCTCTCACCTCGACGATCGCCTCGTGAATGACTTTTGAAAGGTAGAGCCGTCGTCCCGACGTTCTGATCATGCTGTTGCATCCGCCCGGGACGCAGGTGAATCTGCCGGATCTGGCACCGGGGGCTTCCAGCATGCCTGAGAAATCGGCCTTTACTTCGTGAAACGGCGTGGTGAGCCCGAGATTCTGCAGAGGTTTATTGACGGGGAACTTGAAAGACGACTTGAATCGAGGGAGCCAGAATTCTCCGACCGGCTCGAATCTGGTCAGAGTGGGCAACTCTCTCATCAGCCATGCGGCATCGAGGTTCCTCTCGAGCTCAGGCAGCCCGTCCTTCCTGTCCGGAAGCAGGATGTACATCGACAGCTGACGATGATCTTTGTTGCCTGTCTTGTAAGGCAGCCTCAAAACCTTGAACTCAAAAGGTTGCTCGGTAATCACAGCGGGAGGCGCGAAATCCGTCGCTCCATGGGACTCGTTGAACGAGTACATGGGCCACAGATCCTGCTTGAATGACGCATCCGACGAGGACCAGTTGGAGTAGGATTTGATGTACTGCTTCTTCTGCGTTCGCATCATCGGCACAGTCATGCACTGCCCGTTCATGAGATAAAAGGTCTTATCCTTGGTCTGCTTGATGTCGAACTTCTCCTTCCAATTGCCTCTGAAATACAGAGCATTCACCAGTAGCATTCTCGTCTCCCCGTGAACGGCACCAGGTGGCAGCATGTTGCTCACCTTACCCCGAGTCTGATCGCCCACCCACTGATTCACCTCGTTGCACACCTCCCCAGCCTGTCCAGATACAAACCAAACTCTCACAGCTTCAGAATCAACATAATTATCATCGAGGGCATGAAATTTGACCGAATCACCTTGGCAACATATTTTCCGGACTTTAAATTCCTCCGTGAGCTACTGTGCACAACATCATCGACACGAATCCCTTTCCTACATGAATGCAAGGATTGGGTTTTAGCAGGGCTGGCTAGAGGCAGCGAGGTTTAAGCCGGAACAATGACGGATCCCCGGAGAGACAGAGTGAGTGCAGTGTGCAGACCTTGGTTCTGAAATCAGCTTCTTGCGCCTCGCCACCGTAATTGTGCTTGACGAACCTCCTGAACTTGGGATTGAGAGGAGTTCTCTCATCCACCCACAGGCCGCTGGCCGATGCAAGATAGGGACCTGCAGAATCGCTTCCTTCTCGGAATATGGAGTTGTTGATCTGCATCGACAACTGGTGCATGTTCTCGCTATCCGGATGCTTGAGATGGGCCGCGAACTGAGCTAAGGTCTCTCCCCTGCAACCTCCGGCAGTCATCGCCAGAGCTGTGGCTATACTCATCGGAGACATCACAGCGTTGTCTTTCAATTCTTCCAGTTTCAACACCTGCTTGTACAAATCGAGCGTGTAGGCAGTCTGCTCCTGGGCTTGCTGTAAGTGCGCGTGATCCATGGTGGCTGACGTTCCTTTACAGCTGCGACAATCACAGTCTAGCCTCGTCTCTCGAACAATATCCTCACGAAATTTCTCTCCCTCTCTACGACTACCTCTCCTCTCCTCTCCTCTCCTCTCCGTACAGCTCAAATCATGCCACCCTCTCTCAGCCTCTCCACCTGTAAGACGCAGCAGCAGCTTCGTCGTCCCAAGCTTCCAACATCCGATCTATATTTCTCTTCCCCTCGTCCGACTCACCATCAACCATTAGCCACTGGCTCAACCACATAATCATCCAAAGCTCCAGCCGACGAAATACTCGCTCACTCGCTCACTCACTCACTCATTCGCTCCCTCGCTCACGCTCCTCTGCGGCAATCACAATTCGACACTGCCCTCGACTGTGAAACTCGCCTCAAACTTAACCTCGCGTCTCTCGATCGATCAATCCTCTCCTCTCGTTCGCTCTCGTCTCATCACACATCAGTTGAGCCCTCTCACACCACACTACACCCCAATACAACCCACCCGTTTTATGAGCTGCCTTCCCAAGTAAGCGAACAAGTGCACAACCTCCGGCAGGCCCCACTCGCGAGCTCTCTCCCCTCGCCATTCTTCCCCATAGAGTGACTGACGAAGAAGGTGCTGGTGACTATTGCGGTGCCACTAACTCACACACTGAGTCAGTCAGCCAGTCACTCCCTCCCCCCTCTACCGAGTCCCGGCCCGGTCTGGTTTGGTTTGGTCTGGTCCAGTCCACCTTCGCGCGTTCTTTTGGGTGGTTTCGGGGCCCGGGAAATGCTTCCTGTGCAGTTCCATATTCCCCGTGCTCAGGATCCTCTCAGGAACTACGATTGGGACTTGCGTCGAAGACGGCTATCGAAAAGGAGCAGCTCTCTCACGGACCAGGAGACGGGGAGCGGCACAATAAATTCACGAGCGTGGTACAGCTGAAGACGAACGACCTGCTTCTCCTCTCCGAACGAACGGCCGGACGGCGGCTCCACTCTTTCCATTCACTTCCCTTCCTTCCGCCTTGTCCGAAACATTCCAACCGCATACTGTTGACTACCACGGTCTAGTCCTGACCCACGTTCCAATGAGCAGTCGGCATCAGGTTGTTCCGGAGTTCTAGAGACTGGAAGCATATGATGAAGTCTTTTTGTCTCAGTAAGCGTACCCACGGTCTGGTAAGGCTAACTCGACCCATAGGAACCGGAGTGGTCAGATCTATCAGATATCGGCAATTGGGCACAGAGGCCATTCATTCATGCGTGGCAGCCCGAAAAGAAGCGAAATGAGTAACCATGTTTTATGACTGAAATTCTGGTTGGGTTCTTGGTGAGACGTGTACCTCCACTGACATCATTTATTGCGTTCCGATGGAGATTTCAGTTTGTTTCAAGGTGGAGGTATTTCGGGTGTGAGTATTACCCTCGTTTAGTTTATCATATCTTATGGATGTTGGATGATATGATGTAGAGAAGATTAATCACGCTATGCGATGCTCCGATACAATATATGAAGCTATGTAACGTATAATGACAATTGCAATGGAAAATGGAATTCAGAAGGTGGCATTTGGACGGGCAAAAAGATGAGAATATCCTCTCAGGTATTACAAGGAAAAATAACTCGCAATAAATCAATGTGTCTAAAGGATCAGAAATATATTCTCTAGACATCTACAAACCACATATATAATTCTATCCTTACTAAACTTATTTTAAACTGCATCTAATATATGGGAATAAGATGTTAACCAATAGAATTGAAAACGTAATAAACCAGCTTAAAATTTATATATTTTTGGATTGGTAGCCAGTGGAGTAATAACAGTAATCATATGCATTTATAGATATACTCTCTTTGATAATTTAATACATCAATCTTTAATTCTCTATGAGAACATTCAAGAATGTCTTGCTTACAATGTGGCAAAGAATATCCCTCTCTGCAACTTATAGTACAACATATTAAATGTAACTGATATACAGTGTTATAAACTAGAAACTAGCTAATGTTACAAATGTAATTAATTTGGTTAAATGTGATTATTATTTGCATGCTATGTTATAAAAATATTTCAATTTCTTTTAAATATTGACTAATAGAAATCTGTAATGGATTTCTTCACTGTTTTTTTTATATAAATTTTATCCATTTCACTCCATCGGACTTATAGTGTGCTTATGATTTACCCATTTCATGAGTTTTTGTTGTTGGGTGCAATCTCTTTAAAGACATTTTGACCCAGATATTTGGGATATACAACATGCCAAATGTTATATTTCCAGTTATGATGTTATTGATGCTAGCCCAATGTAATCTATTTGGTTTCGTACATGCAAAGATTGATGAGTCATTCTCTTGCTTTTAGACCGGGTTTTCATGTCGACCGAGAAAAAGATGTCAACTCACTGTTCAGCTCCATTCACCGAGGATGGGTAATCAGGTCATCCGAAAGTATGTAACCACAACTTTTGCCACAGTAACATGTAACCATTCTCATTCATTACTGCATGCGATCTCATGGACGAGGTTTACACAAAGTCTGAAATGTTCCCACTTTGATTCTTGGGACGACCATGGCCTCCTCGTTCCCTGTCTCTGGTGAGGGATTGAGCGTGGTTGTGCTGTACTTATTGAGTGAAAGGACGAGACAATTCATCATTTCGTGACTCAGTTAGGAGTCAGCGAGTCAGACACGAAAAGTCCATGCATTGTTGTCCCAGTCATCCAGCATTCGACACTGCCTATGGCCGGTACGGTCGTTCCACTGTGGCTGTTTCGGGTTCCGGGGCCTACAGTTTGCTCTCTCTCTCGAGGGTGGGTCGGTGGGTCGGTCAATTCACTCGACTTTCGTTGCCCCATCCCCCAACCACCGTCATTCATTTCTTTTCGTTTCTTATGTACTCACAAGGCCTCGTATCCGTCTCATCTCGTCGAATCCTTGTTTGCCATCAATTCTCTGTCAGCGACTCCAGAAGCGCGTTCTCCTTTCACTGGCATCCATGCCTCTACCATCCCTCTCCACAATCGATGTCTGTCTTTCTCAAATATTTTATTAGGTCACCGAGAATCATATACTTGTCGTCAATGCTCCAAGCAGGTTCCGTTGGGAATAACAGGTCCTAGGATACATCATCTTCCTTGTGCACTCTTGGTCACATTACAGTAGTCATTTCTTAGGCTCATCATTTCTTCGTAGGGTTGTCAGTGAGTTGTGCAGAGCGTGTTCGGCCGTGGCCTAAGGGTGAGTGGGATTCAAGTGTTATCTGGCTCCTTCTTTACTCTCCTCGACCACATTCCTCGTTACCAAAAAATCTCTCATGCTCTCAAACACTAACTCGATGCGGTATTGCATCATCTGTCAGGGGACAACGGGCTTCAAGATGAAGGGAAACACAGTAATTTAGCAAAGGGAATGGGAAGACCCCATCAAGTCGTACTTGTTTACCATTTATGATAGACTATGAATGCGATCCAGTCCTGTCTTATCATGTTCCTCGTTTGCCATGTTACCGAGTATTTTTTTCCCTGATGTTTACGTGCGGTAAGTTATGCAGTGACTGGGAATATGAAGAACCAGCTTATCTATCTGGTCAGTGCGTGTGCACAACGTTCCCTGCTCCCGGCAAACTTACACAGCCAAGAAAATGCTCTGTGATTTTCTCCCCTCTCCATGTATGCGTACCTCGTTCAACATGGGCAGATGGTTGGCTTTGATGTTTTAAAGAGCTACTCTATCTTCGTACGATTCTCGTCCACCCCACTAGGGTTTTAAGTCAGGTTTCTTATATCTTCTGTGCTACCTCTACTTCACCAGCCGGTCAAGCATCGCCAGTAGCTTAATGGAAGCACGAAGTTTGTGGTGCTCAGTCACTTCTGCTATGGGACAGGTATTGAATTTCCTCTCATACTTCTGCATTTGTTTTCCATAGCCATGAAAATAAAAGACTTGTACTCGGAGACTGTCGAATAACGGTCTGACTCCACTACTTTCTCACCAGCAATCGCGCATATTTGATTTCATCTTCAGTTTCCTTGTTTGCTGGCCCGGGTGTTTCACTCGTTAGCTCTAGCGGTACTGCGTCCGTAATGTGTTCCCGTTCCCTGAGTCGCAGTCACATCCTCACGAGACAACTTATTTCATTACATTCTACTATAAATTGGTTTCTACTGTAGGTTTGAATATACAGTGCCTGCAAAAGGCATCCCTGCATATTTGATTCCGAGAACGGAGTAAACTGGCACCTCACACCATATGTAAATCCAGTACTCTGCATCAATTGCTTTATCACTGACTACATCTTTTCGGATTGTTTGCGAACGGTTGGACACAAGAAGGTCGGTGGCAAATAGGCAATACTGTGAAAGCCATAATTACAAGTTGCAGCGCTAAAAGTCTGTACATACAAACTTCATGATTTCCTCAACCACTTGTTTACAATGTTCACTTGCGGCACCTGAACCACACGAAGGATTTCATGTCGTTACAGTTTGATCACACTAGTTTGTGAACATGTACCTACAACGCGATCTGTTGTCTTTCTGAGTCTGTAGAAAGTTTCAACACAAGAGGGTATAAACTACCAGCATGGTAAATTGTGTGTTGAGTGTGTCAAACAGAACACATCCAATACGATCAGAGAGGGAGCCCATCACTTTTCTATCTACTCATGGTCTTGCAATATCTGTGCTATCTCGGCGAGAGTATAAGCTCATATCAAACGGCCAGAGGGAGGTTACCATCTGAGACATACCACGACCATAAACCAATCCAACCTCTGGCAATCTCAACCATAGATAGAATCCCACTGCGTTAAGGTGGAACTGGCATGCTCGCTTGCAGTGATGTGAATATCCTCGACACGATCGGAAACCGGAGCGTCCCGTGACTGAGTTTGACAGCCATCTCGTCCACCTTGCTGCATCCTCGACATAAAAGCACCCCTCTGTCTCGTCTGCGGTTCCTGCCGTGCCCAAGAGACACGAGGGCCTCGTGATTCTCTCGTCACCATGTACACATCCACGAAGATGCAGAGGCTAGTCCAGAGCTTGCATCGAGACCTACCAAGATATGCATCGGGCACTGGACCATCCTCAGGCGCGCGAAGGTCGTCGATCCAGAGGATCCATTCAACAGCCTCTAAGATAAGTTATCGAGCCTCGGACTTCCGCCTTCAAATAAGAGCGGAGGCCATGCCGGACCGGAAGCCCGAAGAGGCCACTGCAAACATTGTCCGCGGCCCCATTCTGCAGCTCTGCTCGAGTTCGATCCACGAAATGGTCATTTCGCTCGCTCGCACACAAACAAACACACAAACATACACCGGAATCCGGATGACGGCCCTGCAATGGGGACGCGGCATGCATCGGGGGGAGTTCGTGAGAGTGACGGGACTGGCCGCCACGGGACGGGGTTCGGGCGAGCGCCAAGTCGGTGCGGCTAGGGATCGACCACTCGCCCGATGAACATGACGACGCCGGTGTTGTCCTCGCTGATGAGGAAGAGGAAGGGATGGTCGGCGACGAAATCCTCGCAGGGCTCGGAGCGGGGAGCGGACCCGAAGCCGGCCGCGACGCCGGTGGCAGCCGCGGCCACGGTGCCCTCCTCGTCGACCTCGACGGTGGCCTTGTGGTAGATTTTGGAGATGCAGAGCGGCGGGAAGCTGTCGGAGAGCTCGTTGAACATTCCGGAGAAGTCGGCGCGCACGCGGTCGAAGGGCAAGTGCAGGCCGAGCGTGGTCAGCAGGGAGGACGCCTCGAAGCCGCTGGAGATGGAGAAGCGCGGGAGCAGGAACCGGCGCACCGGCACGCTGTCGCGCATCATCGGCAGCGTCTCCATGAACCACTGGGCGGCCGTTGCGTCCAGGTGCCGCTCGAGCTCGTGCAGGCCGTCGATGAGGCACGGCAGCAGGATGAACATGGAGAAGGCCTGGCTGCGCAGCGCGCTGCTCTTGTACGGCAGCCGCAGCACTTTGAACGTTCCGCAGTTGCAGATGTACTGCCGCTCGCTGCTCGTCATCATCGGCTTGCTGACCATGCTCCCGTCCAGCAGGAAGAAGGGCTCGTTCCTCGTGCGCGAGCTGTCGAATTTCTTCTCCCACTGGCCCTTGAAGTAGAGCGAATTCGACAGCAGGAATTTCATGTCCTGGCTCACGGAGTTTGGCGGGAACAGCTCGCTGATCTTGCCCCGCGTCTTCTGCTTGACCCACATGTTCACCTGGACTCGAGTCCACTCGGCCTGTGGAGGAAACACACCTCGTTACTACCCGCACACGCTGCCCATCCTGCCAGGTCGAGAATGCACGACAAATATTCTCGAGCGCCAGAGTGCGTCCACTGGCTGGAGCGAGTCTGCGCGCAATGAGTACTGCGAGCACAATCAGGAGATGCGGCCATCGTCTGAGCTATCGACAACAGCGGAAACACGCACGCCCAGGTGGGATCTGGACCCCGGTTCTGTACCTACTGCGACCGTCCGCTGTCACTGCTGCGTACGTGGGACGAGGATTGATACAGAAAGGCAGGCTCTTCAAGGAAATTCTGCTTGCCGAGAGGGCTATTGACAAAAACTTGAAATAAATCGATGTGATTTGTACCTGGGTTTTGAAATCCACGACTGACGCCTCAGCGCCGTAGTTTTCCCGGACGAATTCTTGGTATTTCCAGTGCAGAGGGAGACTCTTGTCCACCAGCACGCATGTGGCGAAGTCTACGAGAGGGCCCCCTTCGTGGCTGGCGTCTTTGAGCAGGCCGTTTTTCATGAACACACAAAATTGATGCATAGTATTACTATCCGGGTATTTCAAATGCGCCACTATCTGATCCAGAGTCTCTCCTTTGGCTCCCGCAGCGAGCATGGCGAGCGCTGCTGCAATACTCAAGGGAGACACGGCGGTGTTGCCTCGCTCGATCGACAGAAGCTGTCTGTAGAGCTCCAGCGAGTACGCAGTCTGCCTGTGGGCTATCTGCATGAATTCCATCCTTCCCGGCTCGTGCTCAACAATGCAGCTCGCTTCCGACTACCCTCTGCGGTCCCGGTTTCGTCACCTTCCCTGAAGCGTCATCAGATATGGTGCACAATGTTTCCGACAGTCTCGCTACATGGATCGCTCTCGTACAGCGCACTTCCGAGTGCGCACGGCGCTGAGTTCTGAAGGAAGGTATCTGAAGCTTGAAGCTGTCGACGATATATAGGCAACCTTCATCGCCCTTGTGCACAAGTGGCACCAAGTGGCAATCGAGAACCAGCACCACAATTCCCCGGCCCAGGCTCACAGGTGCTCTTCCACAGGGCTCCGTTTACGATCGGCGTGGGGTCCCTGACTGCACAAGTGAGAGACATACGCCATCGGGGCTGAGCACATCCGTGATCAGATCACTCGAAATAGTACAGCTTCCGCTAGCCGGTCGAGTCTCACTCACTCAACCAAATGCCAGTTCTCCTCCAATCTGCCCAGCCTCAAGCGCCTTCTCGTCGCCCATGTCTGGGTTGACAATACTTCCTGAGTCTACGTGTCTGGCTCCTAGGAGTGTCAGACGGGACCATGTCCTCTCTTGTCTTGCCATGCTATTCCAGTCCTTCCGTTGTTCATCCCTCTGAGCCCATCGTCTTCTGGCCTCGTGGGTCCAGTCACTTACTGTAAGTCCGTGCTCCAATCCCTCCCCTACAGTCGCGGTCGTCCAGCTGCAACCGTCAGTGCAGTATCCTTCGCTTGGACTACGGAACGAGGGCATGAAATGGTAAGGTCATGAAATGGGAAAAGGATGAACGCTCCCAAGCATTGAAATTCTCCCATTCCCATTCCAAGTGTGGCTTTGTCCTACCCGTTCATGTCTTAGAAGTATTCTACTTCTCAGATGGAATGGGCTTGGAAGTCAGTGATATTTGTTGACCCCAAAGCCCACTCGGCAAGTGAAGAAGGACGTTGGAGTGTGGGGGTTAAAGGGCAAACGCGCGGAGAGCACACAAATTATTCTGAGATGGATAACGAGGGGTGAAATTAGAAGCCTTTCTCGATAATTTGCTAATGCTCTGTTGGTGGCATTTAGTGCAATCTCGTTAATCGCACAAATCCTCCTTGGTGTACTGGAGGATGATCTTTCGCCTCAGCCTTATTTCTCCAGTGGTTCATTAAAACCTTCGAAGTTTAAATGGCATAGTGCCGCTTGTCAAATACAATGCATCATCCTAATTAGTTCCTCCCTTTTGTAGCTCTTTTTACTCGTGTAGTGCTGTAAAATTGCAGAGGCATTTTACATTGTCCAGAGAAAACACTCAAAATATATCAACCTTAATCTTAATCAATCGTTAATCAACTACTTAACTGAACATCAACCGCGGATGAGTCATTACCTGATTTTACGTTAAGGTTAGAATGGCGACAAATTCTCTGTACAAAGTAGAACGATCGTGACATACTACGCGTAGATTCTCGCGGTTCCTCTATGCATATATTTCTACACCTTCACAATCCATGACTGGGAATTTACTTCCATGTATGAATCTCAGCAAGTTCGTTGAGGCAGCTGCTTGACTTGGAGCAATGTCACGATAAGCGACAAAACTCGTCAATGAACAATGCTCACGGGTCAAATTTCTCATCAACAGCATGCGATATAATCAACACAGGATTGGCCTGGAGACACGATGTTGCAGAACATGTCTTTGGGCACAATCACCAACACGTGCATACAGTTTGCACAAAGGAACGATCATGGTACAGTGTAACAAATCACGGCAGCCATTGAGTCGAGGAGGGTATGACAGTCAACGAGGAAATTCGATAGCCACTGAGTTGATGTGATGATATAAACACATTGGTTGATGTCATGTGTTCACTGACGTGCTGTTTTCACATGATTCATCGTCTATCGTGCAGGAGATTGTAGTGTGTTGTCCGATCGAGGTAATGAATCCAAGAAAAGGATGTCCAATCACCAATCACGCATCAGGAGCTTCACGAAGTTCTGAGTGAGTCGAATTCCCCAAGTGAAAGCCACAACTGCTCATGCAAGGTTTTCTTTTGTTCTTTAAGAGAGAGACACATTTATAGATGATAGATAGAACCGTTACGGTACAAAGCACAAGCCGAGTAAGTCTAGAGAAACCCTGCCCAAAGGCCAACCGAAAGAAATGAGAGTGTATTTTTGGTAAATCAATATCTCCCAAACTCCAAGTCTAGTGTCTCACCAAGCGACTCATTACTAAGAGCACCTGGAAGGAGGTCCACCACATACGCCACTCATCAATAACGTAGACCATAGTACGGTAAGGTTGCACATGCATTTATCCATAGAGGGATCCTTCTGTGATTTTCCTGTCATAGAAACGTGTAGAAATTCATAGAATTCATGTAATAAATGGATCATCATCTCCTCCTTTAGCACTAGTACATGTTCTATTATCGGTTTTGATTCTGGATTTTTTATGCTTGCAAGCTTGACTTTTGTAGAGTTTAAGAAGTGGCTACCATTTTTTTAGAAATTGCACTTATGAGGGTCTAAACAAGTAAATGAATTCTGATGAAGGACAAGTCTATAGCTTGAAGTCTTCGAAATTAATGATGCTTCTTTTCGATGATCAAGAACTACTTTTTACCAACGTTTTAATTTGTAAAACTATACGGAAACAAAAAACAACTTCATGCAGAGCAGAAAAGAAAACTGTCACATCTTGAATTATTATCTCTTTAATCTTATAATTTTTTTGTGCCATGATTGTTAGATCTCAATATATAGAGTTTTGACTTATTGATCCTTTTGACTTATAATTTGCATATCAAAAATGTGATGTGTACAGATTTTCTGTCATAGATATATATTACAATTTATCGTTTTACATGGAAACATCTACATCTGTTTGAATCAAAAACTGATACTATTTTGATAATCTATTTGACAAAAGTTCAAAGATTTATTGATCGTGATCGTTCAATATATTATGGGTACAGACCGAATAGTTGAAAACGTGAACCGAAAGTCGTTCTCCACATGGTCGATTTGTTTCACGCCCATATTTTGTCCGTGCAGGGCAAGGCAGCCTCTGGTACTCTCGTTCAGCTAGATGCGAGGTGCGCCAAGTCCAGCCCTCCTTCTCTTTTGACCGGAGGAGGTGAGGAAGGTGTCCGTGAAAATCTCGCCCATCGTCACGAAGGGAGGAGGAGAACTCCCGCCCAGCTGCAAGCTGCAAGCATGCAGACGAGCGGAGTGCGGGCGGAACAGCAAAGCCTGCCACTTTTGGCAGACCCTGTCGACGCTGGATATTTTGCGCTGCGCTGCGCTAGGGGCAACTTCGTCCTCCGGGCCCCACGGGCTTGAGATGCCCCGGCCCCTATTCCCATGCGCTGGTACCACAGGGATCAACAGGAGCTCCCGTTTCTTTACACTCTGGTACGTTATACATGTACAGACAGAATCCCTGCAGCCGCTACATCCAGTCTACCAAGTCCTCCTTCCTTTCATGAAACAGTTGGGCAGGTCATGACCTGATTTGGCTCAATATCCCGTTCTCGTGATCCATCGCTCAGGCGCACTGCACAAGGTGTATTGTCTGAGATGATATGAGCAGAGATGAGCTAATTCGTGAGCAGCAGCAGCTGCAACAATAAGTACTCGAGCACTGTTTCTACTGTGATTCGTTTTTGAGTCCACTGTGATGGATCCTGTACTCATTTCAGAGGTATTCCGAGAGCAGGTCTCCCAGATTCTAAGTTTGCGGTCCACAGGTTCTTAGAACATGAAAGAAATTTCTCCTGGAAGATAACAAAATTTCGTTTACATTTAGTTTACATTCAGTTAACCATTTCGTGCACCAAATGAGAAAGATAGTGCTCCATCTGTGCGAAATAAACTCCTCGTACCTGACACTGTAACATGACACCGCCGGCAACTGAGAGCTCTACATATATTTGGATGTCCAGTCATAGGCATTTGTCTGATGGGATCTGGAAAACCTGCTCGCAAACCAGCCTAGACTCCCCTCCTTATCCGGAGCTTACTGTGGTTCCACAGCCAGCAGTAAACGCGGAGAAAGATAAGGAGAATCGAGTCCAGTTTATGAGCGTGCGCAATTATCAGGCCAGTGAGAGGACTTTCTGAAAATATCTCATGAAGTATAAGAAGATATTTACAAAATATCTTCCTTCGGGCCGTTACCCCCGATTCCATTGGTGGAGAACCCTCGATCCCCGAGGCAAAAGGGCTCTGGTGACCCTAAAAGTTAAAACATGGACTCAGGGATTGTACCTGGAGCAACAGTGTACCTAATTATTTCGTATTATCTCAGACGCACCAGACGAATGGTAGAGCAATCTCCGTCGGAGTGTTTCCCTTCCTCCACACCTCTACGCACTTTTCTTCTCGATTCTTCAAACCAACATTGTTCGGTCTTGCATTGGAACTGGAAAAATCCGAATCCTTCATTGAAGGATGGCCGACTCTAGAAAAGGCAAAAGCGTGGCCGGCAGGATTCGAACCTGCGCGGGCAGAGCCCACATGATTTCTAGTCATGCCCGATAACCACTCCGGCACGGCCACTTGATATTCCTTCGAAATTCTTAACTAAATATATATTATATTTCTTTAAGAAGTTGAGACTAGAAACTTGGACGGGTCTAGAGGACTTGCAGACAAGGTAGACAATACTTTCACATCTAAACAAGAAATCATGCTTTACTGTTCATGGATAAGTGAGAGTGATTTTATAATAATTATAAGATGCATGGTATTATGCTAGGGACTATCATTAACCTGTTGAATGAATGCCGAGAGGAAGTACAAAAGTCGATTCAAGCATGGCGCAAAACTCTGGATCACCAAAGTTACAAAGCGGGACAACTTTGAAGATACCATGGTCTTTACATAAGTTTCTGGGTGAACTGCATTTACTATGGATGACATCGGGGGTCAAGTTTTTAAGAATGGTCCGTTACAGGTGCTAGATTTTTGAGGCTTTAATTTTTAAAAGGCATGTTATTACAGATAGCTTCATCTATAATTAGATTGGGGGATTCTCACCCTGCATGTTAGAGACCTTTGTACCTTCTGATCTACATGCAAGAGACATTAGAATAGTATTAGAATAGCATTGATAGCGAAAGCGGTATATCACGATAGATATTAACCCGACCTTCGACGTTGACGTTTCTTGCGTCCAGTGGCCTCTGCCTCTTACTGTATTCCTATGGTTTTTAACAAAGCTCTCCATGTCTTGACCAATCCTTGACCTTCGGAAGATATCTATTGTGGTCTTGGAGTGATGAAGTTTTACTACGCTCCTGAGTCTTAAAATTTTGACAATCCAGAGCATCACAAGATGACTCGCTTAAAAGCCAAAAGCAGTGGAAGAGGTGTGGACCACTACTGTAGACACACACTAATTGTACAAGAACTTGTCTTCACTAAATCCTTTGAGCACTTCACTCGCGGGACAGATGGTAAACTTGTCGTATGACTGCCTCTTGAATGCAATTGTTCATATCACATGGATCATCAGAAGAGATGAAGATGGGTCAGAAGGGCAGCAAAACGAACGAGAGAGAGAGAGAGATGGGGAACAAATCCACTTTATTTCTGATTATGGGATGATGCAAGCTTTGACAGCACAGAATGACTAATGGCTCGATGAAAAGGACGTCCAATCACCGCATAGACTGGGATCAACAGTCCGTTCGGTCCGTACAGAACTTGTCAATGGCTATCAGATGTGCAAGTGCCGTACGAACTTGCAGGACGAGGTGTAGCTATTGTGAGTACAATAGCTGGAATCACCTCGAGGATTAGAGGAGCGACCACCGATGCCTGCCTTCTCAACAGTCTCGTCGTGTACCCTCGTGTACTTGCCTCGTCCACATCATGCACTCCCGAGTGCTGCAGCAGTGACTGGGCAGTCCTTTTGTGTCAAACATTGTGCAGGGCTCCATTACTGACGACTAGTACTGAATCTGGACAGCTTGCACTTTAAAGTGCTAGCTTCAGTTTCTTCTATCCTGAAAGTGAATGTCTTGCACTTTACAGGGATAACTTAGTCTCTGAAAAGCTGGCCTCCGATTACTAATTTAGCCTTCATTACCCATCTGCCCGTGTTCTGATCTGAGACTCGCATTTCGAAGCAGCAGGGAGCTCAGATGATGCCCAGGTCCCGTCCGCGAAATTTGGAGCTAGAGGTGAGCTCCGTCAAGGGAGATTCAGCCATCAACAGCAGTTCGATGTGTCGAATGGGTTGACTGAACGAATGTTGATTCATTCTATAAGAGGAGCCTAATTTTCCTCTTTATCAAAGAAGCTGGAAAACCGTGAGCATCAAAAGATAAACTCAGTTTATGTGTACAGTTGTGGACATGAACATGCCTAGATTATCATGATTTAACGATTGACATCTTTGCTCCAGGTTTTGCTGTCGTTTGTCTTAGCAAATCGAACAAGCGATTTTTGGCAATCCTAGCATCCAGTTTACCTTTATTGCAAGTCTTAGTGGCGAAAAGATATCTGCAGCTCCGGTCTTTGCATCCTCCTCAAACGACTGTGCGTTGATGTGAAGATTCACATACTTGGTCCAATGTGAAAACTCAAGTATATGTCCGATGATTGCACCAATGCCGCTGATCGAGTGTGCCAGTAGAGTTCTTACACTGCAATGAAAGTAGCTGACATCGTAGCTGCAGCGCCTAATCTATATTTACATAATCATGCTCCTGACAGCGTCAGGTGTTTCTCGATCGTCTCGAACTTGCAGGTTGGAAGAGTTATTAATATACGTGGATGTTCAGATATCGATGGACAAGATTATGGTTTCCACAGTTGTTGATTTCAAGACGCTGGACTGACTTGAATGTGATTACTAACAGCTGCCATCTTACAGGCCAAGCGTATTGCTTGGCAAAGCTTCGTCAGCGACTTGTCACATTCATCTCGTGAACACTCACTCGATCCTTGCTCCTCGCAAATAATACAGTGAAGCTTCTAAGTCGAGAAGTTAGATTCGCCTCACTAACCAGAGTTGGAGGCCCAGAAACTTCAAATGCTACGAAGATGTAATATCCTGGAGTTTCAGGATCTGATGAAAATGGAAATTCTCTCCACCTTAAATTTAAATACGTGAAACGGACCAAAGCCTACTTCTCTCAAGTACGTGTCTGAATCGCATTACTTTCTTCCACAAGCAAGAGGTTTGCTCAAAGTAAGTACGAGGTACTTTGAAGACTCAAGAGATGATGAAATCTCGTCTAACACTACGGCTGAGAGAGCTCATCGGTTTGCCTTCCTACACCAGTGCGAGAGTTTCAGAGCACTAGGGGCTCGGTAATCAACAGAAAATGCCCCACACACAAAGAGGAACTGACATTCACGGACGTCGGCAATTAATGTCAAAGAGAAGAAGATGCATAATTATCACTTAGCAGCTTCGTCGTGTCGTGCATGTCCTCGGGTGGCGAGCCCTGAACAACTTTCCTACCGGGAGACGGGTCTGGAGTTCAACAAACTGGTGGCTGGGCGTGCGGATGAGTGTCTCCCCTTGACACGTCCATGGATCGTCTCTCTTGGGGGGGTATCAGAGTGTCACACCTGAAGCTGTGGCAGGAACATCGAGGCCAACTCGAAGCTGCCCAAAGTTCCCAACTGCTGGACTGAAGTGACAGCGTGACATGTGTCCCATGGAAGACAATGGGTTTTTTTTCCATCACAGTATCGTTGAATTTCATGTCATGCTGCTTCCTCCTGACTCGAATCTAGATGCCTGCCTTCCTGCCTCCCTGCCTGCCTTATCCGTATGCAGAGATCTGAGCATCACGAAAGGAAGCATCTGCAACGACTGTTCCGCAAATGATCATGGACTTCCCTCTGAGAGCCTACAGCTGGTGTTCACCGGCGCTCCTTGGCCTCACGACGATCGTTTCAGTCACGGAAGCTGTACAATGCTCGATCGGTGATCTGGGCCTATCTGATAATCGATCACTCGGAACGAGACAGGCACAGACGGACCATGAGAAACTCAGAAAGGCTGAACGGGATACGGGTTTCTGTTTTGTCCGTAGTATAAAGGTCCCAGTCATGATCCCGTGGAAGGATAGGGGAAAAAGCACGCACGCCATGTCTAAGAGGAACCTTGTTCTGCTTTCGTTCCTTTTGTCTGTGGGCAACACTTTTGCAGAGTCGCTTTATGCCCCGACTTCTGCGACCTCTCGTTTTCTGACGAGTCGTGGGATGGATCAACTGTACGACAAGTCCCTGCAATCTCACCTTTTCAGCTCGACTCAACGACATCCAGACAGACAAGGGAGTCGTGTGCGGGTCGAATGTGATCAAGTGAGTGGCACGAGCACCGAGTGTAACACATAGCGAAGAGGCCAGAGGCCGGGGCCGAGGATAATCAATCCCTAAGGGTTAGCTCGGCCAGGCCAGATCGAGCAGCTGGTCTACGATCCTGTGGACAGCTAGCCCACCACATTGTGCTCTAGAATAGCCGCTGCCTTTGACTTCATGGATTCCGTGAGATCTTGATCTCGTTGCTCGAGATATTATTTATCCAGCGGCAGCTTAGAGACTCCTTTAGCCCGAGAACGAGAGCGAGAGCGAGTTGTGGATCTGAGCTTGCTTGCTGCCGCCTCACACCCGAAAGCAAGCTCAGACCCACTTCCCAGTCACCATCTGCGTCTGACAGATGGTGACATTCATTCTTCTTCAAGTTCTGGTCTGTCTATGATCGTCGAGAAATAGAGAGAGAGTCCCTTCGTCAATTTACAAGACTGTCAGGCCCTCCCTCACATATATGCTCTAGCACTCGACCGAAGGATAGCGCTCGAACCATAGAGTTCATACAGAAGCCAGTCATCGCTCATAGTCCCCGGATTTGATTTCATGAACGCAAAACTCATGGTGACAGTTCCTCATCATGTTTTCGAAATACGAAGAGTAGGAAGAAATGTACTGAAGAAAACTGCGGAATGTACCTTCACACGGACTGATCCGTTTTCCCCCAGCCCAGGTCTCTCAACTCTTGCACGAGCGTTCCTGGATGCGGAACCAAAATCCGCGTGCAGTCAGAGCTTATCATGGAGCAATCATGCCCAACGACCTTCCTCGATCAGGCTCAGACGAGGAAATGCTTGAGGAGCCTTATTGAACACTGGTGCAGTAAGTACATCACAGACTCCCACCATGGCTGATCAAAAGAAGCTGGGGACTGAGTACCTCCAAGAGACTAATGCCTCTTCGGAGTCCCATCGCTCTACTGACTGAACAATTCGGTGCTTACGACGAGCGTAAGAGAGAAATTCTCATGCCGAGTGCAAGTTTTTATGAGAAACCGATAAATCTTTCCTTCCAGAAGGTTGGATCTCCAGCTAAGATGCTTCCACTCCATCACGGTGGCCTGCTTGTTCCTCACATTGCACTCGGTGACGTCGTGCGCTGCAAGTAGACCTGATTTTCAACACCCGGCAAGAATATGGTCGTCTTCGCAGCCAGCATGTGCGGATTAGAGACGTTACGTTGGCGCGCAGAGGAGAAAGTCCTCGTCGCCTGCAACGGTCCGTCGCTCTGGCAGTGGATTTGGTAGTCTGCTCGGTTCCGTCGTTGTGCACGTTGTGGGAATACGTTACTCGTGCAGTTATGGTGGCGCTCCTTCTGAACCTCGGCCGTGTGAATGCGAGAGGAAATGGCCAGAATCGAGCGCTCAGCTGTCCCAACTCGTAGAGCTTTCGAGCGCCCGGAGATCATACGAAAGGTCTGGAAGAAATCGATCGACCAGTCCAATTCGTAGGAAACGCACCATCCCATATTCTGGGGAATGTCGCAAGGCCTCGAGACAGGTGCGAAGAAAGCTGCCTCTCCGGGTGGCTCAGGGCCGCCATCGAGCGATCGAAATCGATAGACGGAATGGTGAAACAGAGGGAGGGGGTATGGTGGCAGCGAGCACAGCGAGTAGGATGGGAACAATCGTGAGGGTGTTGATCGTTCGAGGAGGAACGAGAAATTGATCGTTCCTGGACGGTGTGCGAGGCGAGAGGGGCAAGATGAGCGTCGTGGGGTTGGACGTGGGGAACGTGAATTGCATCATTGGAGTAGCGCGGCAGAGAGGGATCGATGTGGTTCTCAACGACGAATGCGGGCGGGAAACTCCGGCCATGGTGTCCTTCAGCGACAAGCAGCGATACATCGGCACCGGGGCCGCGTCCACGGCCACCATGAACCCCAAGAACACGATATCGCAAATCAAAAGGCTCATCGGCAGAAAGTTCCGAGACCCGGAGGTGCAGAAGGATCTGCCGCTCTTCTCCTTCAATGTGTCGGAGGGCCCCGACGGTGGCCCTCTGATCAACGTCAACTACCTCAAGGAGAAAGCCTCGTTCACGCCCACGCAAATCCTCGGCATGATCCTCTGCAATCTCAAGAATGTCGCCGCCAAAGCCCTCGGCACGACGGTCGTCGACTGCGTCATCGGCATACCGGTCTACTTCTCGGAGCTCCAGCGCCGCGCTTACCTCAATGCGGCCGCCATCGCCGGGCTGCGCACCCTGCGGCTCATGCACGAGACAACCGCCACGGCTCTGGCGTATGGAATTTACAAGCCCGGCTTGCCCGACACCGATGCGTTCCATGTGGTGTTCGTGGACGTGGGGCACGCCAGCACGCAGGTGAGCATCGCGGCCTTCAAGAAGGGCCAGCTCAAAATTCTGGCTCAAGCTTTCGATCGGTGCTTGGGAGGGCGGGACTTCGACGAGGTTCTCTTCGCGCATTTCGTCGACAGGTTCAAGCAGGACTACAACATCAACGTCGCGTCCAACGCTCGAGCCAGCCAGAGGCTTCGCGCCGCGTGCGAGAAGCTCAAGAAGATGCTGAGCGCCAACGCCGAGGCTCCTCTCACCGTCGAGTGCTTGATGGACGAGAAGGACGTTAGGGCGCACATGAAGAGGGAGGAATTCGAGTCGCTGGCCGCCGACCTTCTCGAGCGAGTGAGAGCACCGTGCGAGCGAGCCCTGGCCGACTCCCACCTGTCGCTCGATAAAATTGGCGCCGTCGAGGTCGTGGGCTCCGGGTCCAGAATTCCGGCCGTCCTCAAAATCATCGCTTCTTGCTTCCGAAAAGAACCCAGCCGGACGCTCAATGCCAGTGAGTGCATCGCTCGTGGATGCACCCTGCAGTGCGCCATGATGAGCCCTACCTTCAAAGTCCGACATTTCGAGGTACCAGTCTCGCCTCGTCTCGTCGCCAGACTTGTATGATCCCTCGAGGGCCGATTCCATTCACAGAGTGGGTCAGGTTGGTGGTCACGGCATGTCTTTAGACTCGCTCGGAATACAGCACTGTCGATACATTCTGGCGAGTCGGGGGTTCATTTGCTTTCCTTCTCGGAGCGAACCATTCTCATGCACTTGCTCGGCCCTACAGGTACAAGATTCGTTTCCGTTCCCGATCGCGTGTTCTTGGAGAGGGCGTTCTGCTTCCCCGAATGCAGAGGCTCCTGATCGCGAGCCTGCTCCGAGCACCAGTAGCGTTGTGTTTGTGAAGGGCAATGCTCTTCCCAGCGCCAAGTTGTTGACCTTCCAGAGGTCGGGCACTTTTTCGATCGATGTTTTGTATGCGGACGCAAGAGATTTGCCACCTGGAACTCCGCTCAAAATCGGCACCTATCAGGTGCAATTTGCGTTTCCCAATCTCATCCAGTCCCATCGCGAACAGCACCCTAGACTAATTCATTTCTCCTCGAATCCTAACGAGAGCACCTTTCTCTAAGCTTGAAGCTCCGAGAGGTTAGGGTTCTAACCAGCCCTTCTAAGATTTGGAATCATCAAAAGCAGTTTCCGCATTTAGCTTAGAGGTGAAGGCTGGGCCTGAAACGGAATTTCGACTGATGAATTGAGTCCTTACCTCCGTGGCAGATTGGGCCTTTCAGCCCCTGCAGAGTGGAGAGAGCAACGCTGAAAGTGAAGATTCGATTAAGTGTCGACGGAATTTTGTGCGTGGAGTCGGCTACCGTAAGTGCTGAGTAATATCAAGGTTTCCGCGGCTGCTTTGAATTGTGCTTTTCGATGCACTATGAGACCACGACGAGTGAACGTAAGACATCTTGTATTTGTTGCCCTGCAGTTGATAGAGGAAGATGAGTCTGAAATGCCAGCCTCAAAAGTCAAAGAAAATCCTCGAGACTTCCCCGAAGCTCTCCCCATGGATACTGATAAGGACGGGCAGAATGGCGTAGAACCTCAGGACGCACAAAACCTGAGAACGCCGGAATCAAACGCACCCGAGAGCAAGTCAAACAGCAACTCAACGAAAAATGAATCCGATGGAACACAAGTACGAAATCCCCAACTTGCAGCCACAGCACTGAAAGGCCCTCATCAACTTCAAGTACATTCACCCTCCAAATTCACGTCGATGAAGCTTCCCACACATCTTTAAGATAAGCACCACATTTCCAGAGAGTATTCTGGACATCCAGTAGTAAGCCAAGGCCCCCTCCCTGAGTGCTGACTCGAGCTCTTGCCGGTTGGTGCCTTGGCAGCCAGAGACGGTGAAGAAGAAGAAGTCGAAACGGATAGATGTCCCCGTGCAGGAAGTGGTCCTGGGAGCTTTGGCAGGCCACGAGTTGCAAAGGGCTGTGGAGAAAGAGTTGGAGATGGCCTTGCAGGATCGAGTAATGGAAGAGACGAAAGAAAAGAAGAATGCCGTCGAAGCGTACGTTTACGACATGAGGAACAAGGTAGATCCGATTTTCAGTCATCCACTGTCGATTGTAACCCGATCATGGCAGTTCGTCCATCAACCTCCTCCCGTCTCCTCTTGCTCCCAGCAGCACCCGGACCGGAGTCGATAGTCCTTGCGCGACTCTCGAATGATTGATGAGTGGTCTGCAATACTCAATATCGTCGGCCATCAGCTCACCAATGTTCTGAATTATGGAAATCCCTACTTGTCAGCAGCTCTCTGAGACATTTTCAGAGTTCGTCACGGAGCGAGAGCAAGAGGAGCTGGCGGCCATACTTCAACAGACGGAGTTCTGGCTGTACGAAGAGGGCGAAGATGAGTCGAAAAGTGTATACGTAGCTAAGCTTGCAGAACTGAAAAAGGTGTGTCATCCCAAGTTCCTCTACCACACCCACATTTCGTTCACCGACTTTAGTGCCAGTTCCACACAAGGCACTTTCTTACGACCGCATTGGCATGTTGTGTTCGATCTGAGAAACCACATGTCTCTGGGGTTTTGAGTGGCGCAAGGGGTTGGAGCTCTGGGGTCAGAAACTTTAGAGATGGGTTCATGAGCTCAACATTTGCGCCAATTCCATGTCAAATACCCAGTTGGGAGATCCGGTGGTCGAAAGACAGCGCGAGGACGAGGCGCGAGGACAGGCTATAGAGGATCTGTTGTTTTGCATCAACAGCTATAGCGACGCAGCCCAGTCCCAGGATGCGAGATACGATCATATCTGCAGTGGAGACAAAGAGAAGGTGAACTGCTTCACCTGTCCTGAACTCGAGAGAGCCCCATGTTTTTCTAAGATGATTGCCCCTATGATAGAGTTGCGGATTGAGCCAAAGACTATTTTCTTTTCCCACGGATGAAATCTCTAATCGTTTGGTACTCAGGTACCGGATCGCCAATCATGTTTTGGCCACAACATCGTTACGGTGTCAATCGTGCTCATTTCTGTGTCGTATGTAGGTGATCTCCGAGTGCAAAAAGACTGAAGAGTGGTTGAAAGCCAGAAGACAAGCTCAGGATGCTGTGGCGAAAACAGAAGCTCCTGTTTTCCTTGCTCTGGATGTGAGGAAAAAACAGGAAGCCCTTGACAAGTACGTTCCTTCGAAGTCCCGAGAAACCTTCAACTTCGATATTCGCTTCTTCATTTGGATTTCACCTGAAACTTTGTCGCATCCCCGGAGCTGCAGTATTCCCCAAGTTTTATTGTAATCGTGCAATCTGCAAAGAGGTCAGATGGAGGCCAGCTTCAAGTTGCAACGACGACGAGCTCGAGCCTTCACATAGACAGAGAAGTTCAGCTAACACTGATTTCGTTGCATTGCAGATTTTGCAAGCCACTGGTGAACAAGGCACGGCCGACTGCCGCAAAGCCCAACACCGAAGGCCCAGGAGAAGAAAAGACTACAGACAAGAAGGACTCGAGCGGTTTCTCGGCAGCGGGGGACGGGACACCCGCTAGATCCACAGAAACTGATAAATCCAGAACCATTCCTGAAACTATGCAGACTGAGTAAGCTGCAAGCAGCTCGGTTCTGTGCACCTGCAACTCGCAACATTTTGGCATGGTTCGGAGAGTGGATATATAAAGGTCGCGGAAACTTTGCCGATGTTTTCAGATGTTGTTGTGATATTGTTTCAGTTTGTTTACCAGTGGCTGCATTGGGACTACTAGCTGTTGCCTCACCAGCTCCAACGACAGGTTGAACACCTTAGCCATCTCACCAGAACTGCTAGCTCTCTCCACTCTCTCGAAAGAGCTTTGACTCCCTTTCGACCGGCATATCACACAGACCCACTCAGACATTCCCAATCATGACTCTCTCCCACCGCAAAATCCTCATTCTCAGTAGTCTAGTCTCATCAGAACCACCACTGGCACAGCCTCGTGCTCAAGTGACCACTCTCTTGAACCAAATGAAAAATACACACAATACACAAAATACATTGAACAGACCGAACTTTAGCAGCAGCTCCAGAAAACATCAAGAAACCCAAATGCCTGCCTTAAAAATCGCTAGGTCAGCAACAATTACGTGTAGCGGATTTTCAGCCAGTAACAGGCCTGAAGATGTGTACCTGCAACCCAACAAATACTAAAAGTCCCACTAAGAGAGTAAATCGGATTTGTGCATAGTACAAATTCAACGTGTCACAAAGCAAATCGCGGAAGAATTTTCCAATCCTTATGAAACATCTCTGTTTCAATCGTACACTGTATCCCGAGGGTCGATCCCACAACATTGGAAAAGCCGACCTTGCACTTTAATATTGCAAAATGAGACTTTTCGAATCAACTTAAACTAGTAAATGCAAAAGCTATTGTGATTGCAGTTACGTATAAATTGCATTTAAACTGTTTTGTGCAGGGAGGTCTGGAGAAAGGGTGAGGCAATAAATATCTCTATCCAGCCCATGTTTTATTTGGTAAAGCGTAGCTCTTGCATCACTAAGAATTTGCATTTAAACTCAAGCCTGGTTTTTTTCGTAAACGGTATCGCCTCAAAGTTGCAAATGGAGAAAGCAACTAGAATATTGCTCTTACAGAGGTGACTCTTAGAGAGTGTCAAGTGTACTCTACGCAGACTGTTCTGTACAACGATACCAAACCTTGGGCCATCTCGTCATAGACTTCGTTTTAGAGCTATATTTCATAAATTGTGAAGTTCAAACTTGCTTGTACTTCAATCTACAGTTCTCCTATCTTATGAAGCAGAACTCCACCGTCTATGGAATACTGGATCTTCGGCGTGCAAGTTTGACGCTTTCTCAGTGAGCTTTAAAAGCTCAAGCTAAAACTGATGGACTACAAGTATCAAATGTTGGATGAATTGTTGTGCACACTAATGCTTTGATTTGTCAGCTCACCCTATAACGAGACGCCCATGATTACAAGCTTCTTCCGAATCAACATTAGAGCATTGCAACATCGTATAAATTGATGATAAATAAATTTGTCCAGTCTAGTTTTCATACTGAATCGTGAAAATTTTCAGAAAATACAAGATCCATTGTAGTATCCATAGTAATTTGCTTCATGAAATTTTTATTTCAATATGATGCTCAATTAATCATGATAATGTACATTATCGAATTAATATATATCAAATACTTGAAATTTTATTTCTCATTTGTCTTTTGGGATGGATTGATAGTGCATTGAAACTTCAAGCAAAGATGCAACTACACCTATTGAAGCATAGTATATTGGAGTTCGTTATTGACTTAATAAGTATGAACTTGATTTTAACACTCGATACAACAATACCAGGAAAAATATAAAATTATACAATGTTTCTAATTACTTTTTCACTCCTTTGTAATAAAATAATATACATCATATAGCGAAAAGTGCAATAACTTTATGTCACATGATACATTCAAATACAGAAAAGAGATACATACATCTTCAAAGTCAGATACACAAATTTTACTATCTCATCAAAGTGAGTTCAAGAAAAAATTTCGAACAATTCGACTATCTAGATTCTATTTAAATCTGTTATTATTCAAGAAATAGTAAGGTCCATCGACATGATAATGTATCAAATTTGAACTCGAGTTTTAATTACAAAGAAAATAGTTCAGGTATTATGAAGCTATTATGTTAGAGACTTCTATATTTGCTTTAGCTTCCTAGCCAAAGTGATTCGAACGTGACATTTTATCAAATTGTCGACAGAAATTACATTTTAGTTCATGATACACGCAGAGAAAAGGTGGTTTAGTCAAGCAAACACTATGAATCCATCTTCCTGCTATGAATGAATCATGTGCGCAACTCTTGGTGTAATTGCCTTTGACAAACGTAAGAGAATCACCCTGCATATGATTCTCCAAACCTGGAAAATCATGCTGTAATTGAATAAATCTCAGCTCAGCTCCTAATATTAACTTTTTTCTCAGACTGGTACCTTATATTGCTTCAAATAAGCTATAATTAACAAACGCAATCAACAAACGCAACACCACTTCAAACGCGTGGTCAAATCGAGTTCGATCAAACATATGGGGTTAACGTGAGAAATCTCTCAAGAATTGTTTTCCATGAACATTAAACTTGATGCGTTTACCTTAAATCAAAATATGTAAATGATGAATAAACAGACGAGGTTTCTAATGATGTGGAACTGCCCAAAAGTGGAGAGGTTTCGTGGTAGCGAACGTGAGCAGACGGTAAAGGGCATATTCACTCTATTCCTCCAGATATTACTCTCTGATAATCTTCCCCCTAAGCTGACAAACAATTTACAAGTACTTCACTCTATTCCTCCAGATATTACTCTCTGATAATCTTCCCCCTAAGCTGACAAACAATTTACAAGTACTTCGTTTAAATTTGTGGTTGGCCAAAAAACGCTCCCTACCACCATTCAGGACGGCGGTGGATCCTGGCTTCGATGGTTTCTCCCTGCATGCCGACATTCCCGTGCGTGCATGCGACGTCGAGTGCTGTCATCCTCGTCCTGTTAAAAAAGATCAGATGCACCACAAACTTGACATTTGAACATCCCTTACGACCTCAGCAGTTCCGCAGGGCTGAATGGATTGCCGGCATCCACGAGATCCAATTCAAACCAGAGCACCCGGTACTGCGAATTCCAAAGCGCCGAATGTAATTTGTTTTTTTTCGTGATTGCTCCGGGCCGTCTCCGTCATATTTACAATGCTGGGGGAGTGCGAGAGGCGGATCACAGCTCATTGGGGCAACGGGAGGTGGAGGCGTGGGGGGACCATTTCCTGTCGAAAGGGACAGTTGTGCGAGGAAGAATCATTCTGACATTTGTGAGTCGTCTTGGGTCGGATCCGCCATCTCGTTGAACATGAACTGCTCCTGATACTCCATCAAGAATTGCGTGGATCGTTTGACGTCCACGAAGAGGGAGTACACTCTGCTGATGTCCTCGATGTCCACCTCCTTGCCTTTGCGCTTCAAGCAGGCCAGCGACGCAGCCGTGATCAGATGAATGGCGTACCGCAGAGAAGTCTCGTGACCGATTTTCGTCAGCAGGTCTCTGGCTTCCTCCGTCATCTCGACGTCCTCTTCCTCGCATCTGATGTCGAGGATCAACCTGATCTCCTCCTCCGTGTAGGGTTGCGTGGAGATTATGAGAAGTCTGTCCAGAAGGTCGATCGGTATACCGTGAGGCGACTTGTAATTCGTTCCACGTATCCTCGTGATTCCCCTGTTCGTTGCCACGACGAGTATCGGCGCCATATCCTGCTCCAGCGCTCTATTCAAATACGAGAAGCACTCAATGTCTAGCATGTGAACTTCGTCGATGAAGAGCACTCCTGGGACTATATCTGCCTTTCCTTCCTCTCTCCATTCTGCAACTTTGCCGTCAATTTGCTCGCGGACCTCGGGCCGTATTTCTCCCGTGTCGCCGGCGAAGAGAGCCAAGAATCCCTGCGTCCTGCACCCCACCCCCACAGCAGGAAAGCACTCTGCCCCGTTCACGCCTGGAGAGCTTCACTGAGGCTGGTTGTGACAGAAATTCAAGGTAATGGAGAGACTGATTGCGGACTTGAGTTATTATTAGAGGTTCGGTGCTGTTGCTTGCTTCTCCTGGGACAGGGCATTTTGTACCTGCTGTTAATGACATCGATTTCGTGAAGAGAAACCACATGAACGACCTCCTTGCGCTTCTGAAGTTCTCCTTCGGGGCACTGCACGAATTTCGTCTGAGGGCCCATGGCATCATAGTCGCGGGATCTTGCGAAGGATCGGCCTAGTTTGGTGATTTTTCCGGACGCTTTGTCAATTGCTACGATGTCACCACTTTGAATCTTCTCTTTGCTCAGATTCTCGATCATCTTGGCGCCCAGGTCGTACACTGTTTCCATTTCTGTAGTTTTGAGGGTTAATTTTCCGGTTTTCGATGCGGAACCGGCGGAGGCTGGCTTGTCTATAAGAATTTCCACGACTTCTCCCTCGATTATCTCTGTTTCCTCCTTGATCCTCACTCCTATGGCTTTTCTGAAAGCCTGCGTCAAAGCCTCGGTCTTGCTCATTTCCAAAGAGAAAATTTCACTTCCAGCCATCATGGCAAACGGGGCTTCTTCTCCCAGGGCCTTTGCCATGCCCATTGCTATGGCCGTCTTACCTGTGCCCGGTTGCCCTGCCAAGAGAACTGCTCTTCCTGCAATCTTTCCGTCTTTGATCATCTGCAGTATCACTCCGGCAGCTTTCCTTGCAGCTCGCTGGCCCACCATACCCTGGGAATTCTTTCTGGCTTCCAATGCATCGTCGAGACCAAGCCCTCGGATGTGAGAGTGAGCTCCTATGCGCTCGATTCTCGTCAGATCTTTACCTTCTAAAACCTTCAGTTCTGTCATGTTTACAATGTTTCACAGCCTGGGATGGAACGAAGCCTAAATTGCAAGATCTCTCTGGAGATGACTTTTCTTGCGAGGAGGTGGCGAATCGAAGCAGAGTGGAATCTCGAGTTTCACACGCTGACAATCACTCGGAGTCCTACAGCTGAAAGGTACGAACAACTTAATACTCCAATCGCTGCTCCAGGACCCCCGGAAACTTGAAACATACTCGTGAATGCTCGAATGCCGATTCCGCGAATGCAACAGAACAGAAGGTAGTTATAAAAGAACCCACCGACAACTGAAACCTGACAGTCAGGGCCAGCGAGAAGAAAATCACAAGAAAGAAGCGGCGAACTCCCGTACTGCTAGGACAAGTTTCAGCGAGTCAACAGCATATGGCCACAGCGGGCGGGCGAGCTGCAGAAAAGAGGCGCCGAAAGTGGACACGAATGGTCGACGAGACAATCAAGCGTCCCCGAACGGTAAAAATTTGCAGACACGAAACCCAATTCGGAAGACAGTGCTAAACCCGCCTCTCTTCCCGCGCTCCAACCCTAGGCAACGTCCGAGTCTGACAAGTAGCTCGTGCCCGGCGACAGAGCTGCTGATGCTGCACTTCTTGAGACGCCTTCGAGACACGGCGCCAGGCTCAACGGGTCGGCTGATCGGTGGCGCAGGCGGACTCGAGAAACTCCGAGGCCCAGGAGCAATCAGCATGTACACTTGGAGACGGTACCGCTGGGAATGAAGGATTCCGGGCTGGCAGAACGCAGGGGGAGCGTGACGCTACGAGCCGCACGATTGGCCATCGGACGGTGACGAACGCTCGAAAACTGCGCGGCCTTTGCAGTTCGAACGACGACGAGCTTTGCTTCTTCGTCGTCGTCGTCGTCGTGCTCCGTGGGCAGGGATCGCTCGTGTGCTTGAGCGAAGAGCCACTCTCTCTCGACTGGGAGGGTGTTGTGCTTCGCGGTTTGGTTTGCGGGGAGTGCAGTCGGCGAATTGGAGGGGGTTTCGCGTTCGCTGCTGGGGATGGCGAGTTCGGGAGGAGGAGGCGGGGCAGGAGGAGGGGGCGGTGGGGGAGGGGGAAATGCGGGGGATAATCCCATCAGGCGTTTCAGGTTGCAGCGTGAGAGTGAGCTGCGAATTGAGGTCGGATGGGAGGGGTCCTTGAAAGTGCAGCTTCTTTCTGGATCTGCGGAGATTTTCGGGACTGAGCTTCCTCCTGCTGTTTGGATGACATTTCCTCCGGCGCACAAAATCGCGGTATAGAGCTTTTTGTCGCGGATTTGTAGTCTGCACTTCAGGTGTTTCATTATTTTTCCGATCAAGTGGTTCAGCTGTCAACTTGGTTCGTGGAATGATGAGCAGATTTTCACTTGGAGCGGTGCTACTGTGGAGCTGGATGGAGTTTCGGAGGTAGCCTACATTGCGGACGAGGTACAGTTTTGAATACGTTACAATTTCGATGCTCTCTCCGTCTGGCTTGACCAGTGTCTGCGGTCTTTTTGAACCATTGTTTGCACAGATGATCGCTTCGTTGAATCGATCTTCAAAAATCTGACGTGAAAGGCTAAATTGAGAATGTACGAAGTAAGGCTGTATCAGTATCATGAGGACCAATTGATGGGTAGGTCCATTTCATTGCGCACACGGTCTGTTCAATAATATTGTTAGAGGCATTTGTTACACTCATACCCTAATTGGTTTTAGATTGTGTTGAGAATTAGCTTTGTTGTTTCAGATGTGCAGTTGTCTTCATTGTATGGCAATACTCTGCTCTTTAGCCCTACCTTTCATGTTGGATCCGAGGAACTTGACCATTATCTGGTCCTAGTTCCCGTCCCTGCACTGCTGTCGGTGATGCATGCATAGTTCAATATGCTCTGTGCAACGAATTTTCTTTTATCAGGTCAAAGAAGAGTCAGGGGTCTTTCTTTGTGGCCCAACATTCTTCTGGCGGCCTCCATAGATTGAATTCTAGCTCGTCTCACAAGCTTGCTGCGGTGATGTTGAGGACGACAGACTCCTATGGTAAGCTATGTGAACGTCCATGCTGTTTTGGACAATCGTCGAATCAAAGCACGTGAGGCCGGTACCAACTCTACCCCTCCGGCTGGTTCCCAACGAACCGAAAGTAATGCTGCTCCTGGCCAGGTATGCGTTCACCTCAATCTGAGTCTCTATTCATATGTAGGGATATTTGCTTCTCTTTGTGGACTTCGGTTCTGGTTTTCTCAATCTTTATGCTCGCTCACTTATGTTGGTGAATCAGAGGCTGATCTTTTTTCTGGAGTCTTTATTACTATGTGATTGTACATTTTGCATCAATCTATGTCTTGAGAGTTTCTAGACTGTGTCCAATTTACAACTGCCTGATTGGCATCAAGCACAAGCTGCAAGGCTTTTTTCTTCAGTAGCACTGTATTGTTTTACAGGGCTGTTGATGCGAAACCGCGTCTTCTCATTCTAGCCGGGTTTAAGCTCTAAGGGGGTCGAATATCCTGTATTATGGCGGTCGCACTTCCTGACCCAGTCTGAATTGGCGATGATTACTCACTGCCATTATCGTTGCTGGCAAACAGGGTCCAAGAGTCATAGTGGTAGGACCAACAGATTCGGGTAAAAGCAGTTTGACAAGGATGTTACTTGGCTGGGCAGCAAGAAAATCTTGGAAACCTACTTATGTAGAACTTGACATAGGACAAGGTTCCATCACAATCCCAGGCACAATTGCTGCAACACCGATAGAAATGCCCGTTGATCCTATAGAGGGAGTACCCCTTGAAGTACCACTGGTGTATTTCTACGGACACACAACACCCAGGTACAAGGGGAAACACCAGTTTTGACAACTGCCCACCTTTGTGGTTCTGTTCTCGACTTTTAAGATCCAGATATTCACTTCCGCCACCTCATTAAAGTTGGATTTACCTCAATTACGCTATGAGTACTGCAAAGTCTTTACCTTGCTTCCGCACTTAAAGAATTGCTGAAATTTCAGTTTCTGTTAGACTCTGAAAGAAAAGAAGCTTGGGTGTTTCCCATAAGCAACTCTTCTAGGCTAACTATTTCTTATATGCAGTGTAAATACAGACTTGTATCGAGCTTTGGTGAAGGAGCTTGCACGGACTTTGGAATTGCAGTTTGCGGCCAATGCGGACGCTCGAGCAGCCGGCATGGTGATAAACACCATGGGCTGGGTCGAGGGTATTGGTTATGAGGTTAATATTATTTTTCCAATCATCATTACATGTGTTATACGTACTTGCAAGTCAGATATCGCAGTGAGATTGCCAGCAAGGACTGTGTCATTACCAATGAATTGGATCACGGGGCATCACAATGTATAGTTAGGTGGAGTCCTTTGCGAGAGGACATTCCTCAAGAGTTTAGTCAACGAGTCATAAGGTGTGAAGCTTAGGTCTCTGTTTATGTTCTTGAAGTAATGTTTTATCCATGTAGTAGTTCGGGATCCTATTTGTTCATAAAATTGTAATCTTCCAAGCAATCTGTCTCGAGACCCAGTTTATGTGTGGAAGAGTGAATACAAAATCTGGATCTTGACTAAAGGTGGTAATTGGAATTCGTTGATGTGCAGTTGCTTTTGCACGCTATCAACACCTTCAATGCTGATGTTGTTCTCGTTCTGGGACAGGTATATAAATGTCGTTGATAAGGTGAGGTTTTTTGTTTTGACAAGTGATGAAGAACTGAGTATGACTCCACGTTTGTTGGAGTTTTGTGAGAACATATCGATCTTATCGTCTTTTAGCATCCTCATTTGATTCATTGGTATTGACAGGAAAAGCTGTACAGCATGTTGAAGGACGTTTTGAAGGACAGGTCCGGTGTCGAAATCGTAAAGTTGTACAAATCTGGAGGTGTTGTTAACAGAAACAGCAAGTACAGGTCTCGAACAAGGGTCTTGAAAACCAAGGTATCGAATTGTAGTACATCTGTGTTCTTCATTTTACGCAACACTGTACGTGATAAAGAAAGTCATACCTCGATGTACACAAGAAACGTTAACCTTGATCAAACGGCTCTACCATGAGTTTATTATTTCCGAGACCGGAGTTCCTTATTATCAAGGGAATTTTAAAGTCCTGCTAAAACTGTTCATATCTTTTGAACTTGCCGCAGGAATATTTTTATGGGCCAGCTAATGATCTTTCACCCCACGCATCCGTCTCCAACTTCAGTGATCTGCAAGTCTTTAGAATAGGGGGAGGACCTCAGGCTCCGAGGTCGGCACTACCCATCGGTGCAGAACCAACTGCAGATCCAACGCGTGTTGTACCTGTGTCCATTAGTAGGGATCTCATGCATGCAGTTTTAGCTGTTTCATATGCTAAGGATCCCGAGCATCTACTGGGAAGGTTTGTACATGTTTGCGAATTCTTTACTCTTGATGTAGACATTTGCCATTAAAATTCGTTGAAAAACAATTTGTGCTTTATATTGAACTTCTACGCTTCCCAAGTTTCTGAACAGATAAAACCATGGAATCGAGTTGCAGTTCGAATACGTAGTAACTCATTCTGAATGTGTATGATGTGTTCATATAGCTAACCGATATGTGAAATTTTCTTGATGCAGTAATATTGCTGGGTTTATTTACGTCACCGATGTAGATATCCCGAGGTTTGATCTTTTCCATCGTCACTTCTTTATCCCAGTGTGAAAGTTTAGGTTATGTTTCTTCACATCAAGACAATTTTGCTAACTTGATTATTGCTAATATTGCAGGAGAAAAATAACCTTCGTTGCACCTTGTCCTGGGCCACTTCCAAGTAATTTGTTGCTCGCGGGTTCACTAGCATGGGTTGAATGAGTTAAGAGAACATTCTTATTCAGAGCTGAATCTGCTGATTCTTGGAACAAGTTCGACACGAAGTACTTATCGTTCACGTATCATGTTTATTGATCATATCACCTGGTTTTGTAATTTGACGCTGTTCTCAAACCAGGAGATTTGACGGATTCAAGCACACATTTGAGCTGAAGGGTCTCGCCTTGAGGCTCAAATTTTTGAAGGTTTAGGACAGAGCACTAAGGTTTTACCTTTGAGCCCATATCGAAGCTATTGGCTGGAAGATTCAGTCATTCTTGTAAATTGTGCCACTGTGGAGTGGCGTAGTTTCTTTTGTTGGAATGTTCTCTGCATTGTCAATCGTACATGTCATCAGTTGAGAGACATTCCAGGCTCTTTGATTCTCTTAGCGGGGGAACAACTCTTCTGAAACTTGTGCAAAGTCTTAAAGCTTCAACCTATAAAGAGATGCACAAATTTCCATCCAGTACATGCATACTTGCTGTATCTTTTGTGCCAGATCTGATGCTAAATCTTTCCGAGATTTAGTGCTAGTGAGAATCTCGATCTACCTGTGTTGACGATTTTGCTCCCACCGGCCTTCACCTGGGAGACTTAAGCCAACATTGCCTGTCATCCCTTTTGTAGTGGAGAATGATTCCTTTCCCTCTTTAATGGATGACAGATACAACTGCATGTTTCATTATCGTCTATCGTCTATCGTCATTATCGTCTCACTCAGAGACAGACTTATCGCACTACCTCTCGTTCTTTCCAGAATATCTCATTCCTGCGAACTCGGGGTCATCAGTTCTGATGTGCGTGGATGTGACTACAGAAGTAAAGCCTTCTTCGTGCATTTATCACGTTGCACAAGTACAGAATCAGCAACACATATCTTTCACGATCCTAGGATGTCGATGATCTCAGCTTGAAAGTTAACTTCCACGACTCGAAATGACAGGATTAATGTTTTAAACTCGAGAAGACGAAACCTTGAACGTCGGAACTCCCTCACGCCTGAAAGTCAGCCGATTCTTTTCAAGCTTCGTCGTCTGCAGGATGCACCACAATGTTGTCAGAAGTACCAGAGTCAGCACGGACATGCTCACCAGAAAGGACGGGACTCACTGCATGACTGTGACGCAGCTGCTTCTGGCGAGTCCCGAGTCCTGACGTGGCCCCAGATGCCTCACTCGTTCCAGAAACAATGTCCGTCCGAGCTCATATAGCAGAGACAGAGAGAGGGTTTGCCAGCGACTTTTGAAGCACCTGCTAATATAGAGCTTAATTGCACTTAATTAGCCAGCCTGAACCACATTAATCAAGCCTTTTGATGAACAGAGAGATCGATCGAGCCAGCATGTGACTCTCTGCGTACAAGTGGCAAGCTTTCAGCTCTGCGGTCGCTGCTCTTTGGAGTCCCTCGGGCTGCCCTGCCCTGCTTCACCTGGATTCCAAGTTCAAGCTCGCGAGCACCCAACTGGAGTAGTAGAATATTGGCAGGAGCAGAGGCTGATTTGACCACGAGATCTGGGAGTCATGGCGGCCGCTAGACGCGCTGGCAATTTGGTCTTTCGTCTCAAAGATTGCTTGCTGGAAAGCAGACTCGGTTGCGTCGCGTGTGTGCGTGAGGGGGATGCGGCCATTCCGTGGCAGCCGAGAGTTGGTGATCTAGCTGCAGGCTTTCACTCCTCGGCGGCGCCCCTTGTAATTTCTGGCGGAGGGAGCCCGAAATTGTATCATCATGATTCAGCGCGGAAGAATTCCGACTTTGTCCGGTTCGCCTCGGGGAAGACTTCACATGCAGCTTCTGCGAAAGCTGCCGCTGAAGCTGCAGGTCTGTATGGCTGGATTCTCTCAGTCCCCACGTAGGAAAATGGGTAGAACTCGGTTCTTTTCTCATGCTTCGGTCGAAATTTTTCTTAAGTCGGTGCTGGATGTGAGTTGCGTAACTCCTGGTCGAGCTAGGGTGTCGATTTTCACCTGAGCTTGAAATTGGGTATGACTACTGGCGCCTCTGCAGGATTTTCAAATTCTGACCCGTGTTTGTGAAACTCATGACTCAAGCAAGCAGTTCAATGTGCATGTGTGGAAGAATCCATTTCTGTTGTATGGCTTCCCTCTTTACGCCGCTGGATTTCTGTTGTGAAACCTGGTGAAATCTGAGAATCTGAGATGGTTTCTTGCTACTTTCAAAGATGCTCGTTGTCAAAGAAATGAATTTAATAAAATGTGGTTCTTTTTTGTGTTTTCTGGCAATTCTGACATGCCATATAATTGACATCTTCTCAGTGCTTGCTTGCGTGCAGAAATTCGCGAGGAGGTCCAAAAGGTAAAAGAGGAATCCAAAATTCATGCAGGAGTCAAGAAGGTGAATGAGACTCCTTCCGAAGAAACTAAAATCCACGAGGGAGTCAAGAAGCTGAAAGAGGACTCATCATCAGATGAGAATGCCAAGAAAGAGGCAAGGGCTTCTGCAAGGGAAGAAGATGAAGAAGCAGCAGAAGAGGTTATAGACGAGAAGACTAAGACACTGAGGGCTGCACTAGCACATGTGGTATGAAGCTTCTCATCTCCCTTCTGTGGTTTTCATTCTCTTCCCTTTTTTAACGCTTCTTCCAGTTCAGCTCGTCTACAAGGTTAGCCAGAGCTCTTGTTTGTCAAAACTGAACTGGCTTTACGTTGTAGCCTAAACTAGGATGGACAGAAGCCGCAATGGTTGCTGGAGCCAAAGATGTGGGGCTCTCACCCGCCATTGTGGGAGCATTTCAGCGTAAGGAGGCAGCACTTGTGGAGGTATAAATCTTCAAAATCCCAGTTGGTTATTATTTCGCAATGTGGTCTCATCCTGCCTTGTGATATTGAGCTTTGAGATCATTCCACAGTCTATGATATGGGTATAGGGCATCTCTGAAAGATTATAATCAGATCTTTCATTCTACCGCAATCACGACTCCGAAATTTTCAACACAACCCAACAACGTTCGTATGCATGTCATTCCAAACTCATTAGAGTTGAGACTATCTCGCTTGAGAGTGTATGATTCAATATATTTTCACACAGCTGAGAAGATCTTCCTCACATTATGGATGTTTTGAGTGCTAAAAGCTGTCATGTAATCAGTTCTTCATGGAGGAGTGTAATCTTGCACTGGCCGAAGAGTTAGAGGATCGTGAGGAAGAACTAGCAAAGATGGTGCTTCACGACCGTGTTGCAGCCATCGTATGGATGCGCCTAGAGATGCAGATTCCATACCTGTCGAAGTGGGCTCAAGCATTGAGCATTCAGGTACTCCCTTTCCCTCTTTTATCAAGACAAAAGAAGTACTTATTTTACCATCAGATGTCCACATTAGGCCCTATCGTTCGTTCAGTTCCAAGCTTTTACATCTGTGTCTACTACACGTCCAGTGAAGGAAACTTAACCGTAGATAATCCATAGAGAAAATTTTGTAGTAAAGGAAAAGGTACTTCATCACACCTAAAACGGAAGTATGTTTTCAAATTTCTCCTAGAATTTCTGGAAAGTGCACTTTTCTCTGTAAGGGCATGGGGATGTCTGCATATAAGGAACACTGTTATTCTCCTTGTACCTCTATCCTAGCATAAGGCCTTCTAGTTGTAACAGAGTTTTCCTTCTTCTCGTCCGTCCATCGCGAACAACTCCTGATTTGGCCTTTGGACAAGAAGTTGACTTTGGTAAGTTAGTGCTGAGTAGATCGTCAAAATCATCCTCAACTTATCTTCTAGTTGCCATGCGTGGTCCAGGCCAATCCGTTGAACGTCCCAGCTACTGTAAAGCAACGAGCGCTTTTGGTGGACGACATTTGGCATGCTGCTGGTGATCGATCTGCAGATATGGATTGGTATGCAAAGCGGGCTTTGTTAGCGGGTGTGTACTCAACAACAGAATTGTACATGCTTACTGATACTTCTCCAGGTAATACTTCTCTCCCGATTTTCTCCTATTGTCCTTGGTTTTCGCTTGACGTGTGCTGAGCAAGAGTAAGTTATGCCTTCCTCCTGTGACTCTTTTCTTCAGGAGATTGTAGAGCTTAAATGCAATACTGAAAGACATCTGAAGGTTAAATCTTATCCACTGAATGACAAGAAATCCTTTCGGTCCTCTATTCTTCTCCTAAGCTATATTATTGTTTCCATTTTGCTTCAAGGCTTTCGAGATACAAAGACATTTCTGGGACGTCGAATAGTCGATGCAATTGACTGCCGAAAGTCAGTCCAGGAGGTAACGACTTTGTCATTATACTGTCAGATGAGGAAACAGGAGTTTGAGGCTGATCTACAGTTTAGTGGGGCTCAAATTCGGCAGCTGCAAGGCTTTCTTCCACATTTGCTTTTCCAACGCATGCTTTGTTCTAAGCCCGACTCTTAACATGAAGTTGATTTGTGTCCTTTGCAGGCAACTCATCTCGCCCAAGCTCTCGGTGCAGGGTTTCAAAACACAGTGAACGCTTTTCTGAGCAGGTCTCGGTCGCCCTCAGGCTTCAAATTTTGAGGCTAAATCTTTCATTGTACATATGGAGCTTATAGATCTTGGTAAAGCAGTGGTAAAGCAACATGAGTAGATACGTGTTAGAACATAGCGTCCAACTGTTAACAATCTGTTAGTCACACCGCAACCAACAAGAATGCCCTTGGAGGTGATTACAAAAATCCGGCAAGTTTTTGTAGAGAGTAAACCATCTTTGGTACACTTTCTGCACTTTAGAGTTGTCCGTCTAAACAGGTCCACAAAAGCATCATTCCGTTGGAACTAAACTGTTATCTTTGGAATATATGAGCAAAGTCGATGAGTTTTGTACCTGGTAACGAGGCAAGAAATGAACCGGCCACTGAATTCACCTCTCATCGTAGAAGACATGTCGTAAAGACACCACCTTCATATCCATCATCATTCATGTGAATTAGTCAGCTCTACGGTGAAAGAATGATTGCTGGTGCGGGACCCCAAGGACCAGTTGTGAAACTGGAGGGAGTGTTGTCACAGGCATCAACCCACTTGAGAATAATATTATTGTATTTACCATTTGTATTCTAGTTTTAGTTTACTTTTGTGACTTGAACCGTGGACGCGTGAAGTCTCGAAAGAATTAAAATATGACTCAGCCCTTTGTTTATTAATAAACTTGAAGAATTTGTGCAATAGACCCGAAGCTTCTTTAGGGGCGAAAAACGAATAATCGAGCGTATTTTCAAGATCAAAGTAGAAATGTGGAAAAGGGAACCGACGGAGTGTATACAATCATAAAAGTGCGCAACTAAACCATGCCAGGCAAAGAAATGACTGAAACATGAATATGTAGTCCTAAGCCGAAATCCTGTACACCTAAACAATATATTTTTACCAAATACTTGTAAGTTTATTGATATATGACAGTTCAATATTAATGCCAGGCAAAGAACTCTTAGCCAGGAGAAAATCGCTCACAGTAAGCTCTGGTCAAGAACCCAGGATATACTACATCCGCAAACCCTGCGTAAAGGCTTCTCGTAAACCATAATCAGTGTGGTGTCTCCACACTTTTCATTCTGACTATCTATCCTCAGAACCCCTCAGGGTCGCTTAAGAGAGTGTTAAGCTGCATGCAATATATCTCAAAAGCATTAGATTTGCAGATCTCCACGACTTCCAAGCCTTAATAAATTATTTGAATCCACTTTAATTTAGGGCCCTGCCAAAATATTCACATCTCCAAATATTGCATTGCGTTATGCTGAAAGTAAAACATTCTGGTAACCACAACATCTGAATCATCTCAAGAATAAAGCCATAAGCATTGTGGCAGATGATCTGAAGGATATATAAAGCTTACTTTTGCCGCTTCTTTCGTCTGCACGGAGAAGGGATGCTTCGGCGTACATGGACCGGACTTCCGGTGCATGGACTATCACCGCCGTGCGAAAGTCCCCGAGCGGCACCCCAAGAGCGGGTGTACGGGCAGAGAATGCCAGCCCGGAAGGGCAGACCCCCGAGTGAGGAGCGCCGCGCAGAGGCCTCGGCTGAGCTTAATCGTTCCTCGCGGGGAAGCTCGCTACAGCACAGTCCTGCATTCCGCCGGCTCGCGGTCTACGCGGGTTCGTAACAGAACGGGGCTTACTCTCTCCGTGCTCCCCATCTTTTGCTTGTGAACACGATACGAGATTGCCCATCCGTTTAGAGTGAATGTGGATTCACTCCCCGTTTTAAAACACGTTGAGCTGCAAGCGCGCTCGCGCTTGCTGCAGCTGCAAGCTGCGCGATTTCGAATTTGAGACGAAATTTTGCTGAGTCATCCTGGCGCGTCCTCCTCGGGCCTGGTCGATGGAGCGTGATGTGTGGTTTGCACTTGGGCCAAGAAAACTGGGAACTTATTATTTACCGCCGAGTTCTTGGATTGTTCTGAACATTCTTGGGCTCGATGAGAAGTTGTCGCTGCTCCCGTCCCTCAGGCTGTGCAGGCTGTTGTGCTGCTGGCGTGATCGATTTTGCCAGTATCGATCTCCATATGTAGTTTCGGGCTTGCGTAAGAGTTTGGATGGAGTGTGATCTGGTTTTCTTGCACTTGGGACGAGAAACTCTGGCATCTCGCGATCGGAGCCTTTTGAAAAAAACCATGAGTTATTCGATTTGCCTGGTCCCACTTTAATTTTGCATCTGAGGTCATATATATCTGTCGTGGTAGTCTCATTTTTTCTCGTCTTTTAGTTGCAGATTAGAGTACTATGATTCTGACGGATCTACACAGGATGGTTTATATGGAACAACTTTTCCTGTGTCGATCTACTCCTACGTTTTCGAGGGCCTTGTTTAAAGAAAGTTTCTGCTCGCAGATGCAAGCATATTGTGTATTTGCACAGTCGTGGTGACTGACTTGGTTTTATACTTCCAGCTGAACACTGGCTCCGCATCATCATTTTTCCAAACCTGTAAGCTTTCAGTGCCTGGAATTTAAAGTGAATGTGAAGGAGGACTCATGCACTATACTCCTGCATGTTCTTCAAAGTCTATGACGCTGCAGAGAATTACAAAACTTTGGCCTTCCCTTTAGTCCATTCAAGCACGCAAGGCTTGATTGAGGACTCTCAATAAGTCAAACCTACAGCCCTGTCATGTTCACTGATTGTCCGACAATCAGTGGACATGACACAACGACAATACAAGACATTCATAGAGACGATCATGAAGAGGCGCCTCTCGACTCTCGACAGAATCAGTAGACAGGCATGCGAGGTCGAACTTCCCAGACAGAAACTGACGGGAGGCTACTCAGAATCTGAAATAGCATCACCGTTGACATGTGAGCCCAGACAATCTCCTCCCATCCACACTACCATCCTGAATTTCATTGCCAGGCAACAATTACATGCTAACCTGGAAAGCAAGGTCAAGAACGCACGGGGGCAGAGGAGGCGAGAATTTGTTCTGCCGGCAGTGACTAAACTAGATTCGCACATGCAAATATAGTGAACCAAGTCAGTTCCATATCACTGACTGAGACATTCTGAATTCATGAGACAGATCAGGGAAGCTGACAACTCAGAAAACGCTAATTCGAGAAGGTGAATTTGGTAATGATTAATGTACAAAGAATCATCTCTTTCCAGGAGAAAGAATGAGTAAGTTGCCACATACACATGGTGGGGGCAGCCGAAGAAGTCACCCATTTCGCTACGTTCTACTCTCTAATCTACAATCACGCAGGTCAGCAGAGCTGTTGACACCCTCTCTCGCCTACTAGACATACAAATATACTCCGTGTGTCCGACTTTTCTAAACTATGCGAGCAACAGTTTCTAGAGTCAACCTATTTCAACTAACCGGGACAAATAATGACTTTCTATGTCTGCCCATATCCATTTACGTAGCAACGCCGTGAATCTTCCGTCCCATGACACTTCACAGCTCCTTCCTCTGAACACCCCGCTGTCGGGTGTCATATCTCAAAGAACCCATGTCTAATTCCTAATTCTTGCCTTCCATCTTCGTCACTTCTTGATGCATGAAAGGCAAAACGGTGGATTTGTTGGGTATGGTGGGGTATTATGTCACAACCTCTAAACCCCGAGTAAGAATCAGTCTCCCTTTAGAGAAGAAAACATCCATCTCGACAGATCCTCCATTCGCGGAAGGCCTTCATCGGAGGCTTATCCCGCTGATGATGGAGGTTGTGGAAGATGATGTTACTACTGCTGCCAAGAATCAGGTTCTTACACGAATGGGCGGAAGAAGGACGAAGTAGTCTTGGGCTGGCTCGTGGATCTTCTTCCATTAATTTCTGCACACTATTTTTGTTTTACAAAGATTGAAGGACCTGCCAGATTGCCGAAAATTGGCGTGTTAAAACAGGCACAGAAGATGGAAGGTTGAGTTGATAGCGGCCAAGGATTCATCTATGTGTATATAGTTACTAGTCTTCTTAGATGTGTTTGTAAAACTGGTCTGAAGAACAGTCAAATCAACGCATCTGACCCATTCTCCGTCTTATAATTGCTGTTGAAGTCATTGAGGACCGTCTCCGGTGTGAAGATGGACGGCGAGTGACAACGTCGGTTTGGAAAACCGGGGAAATTGGCCTCGTTGGCTCCTTGGCAGACCTGTGCACAAAAGAGAGAGAGATTAGGCTTTTGAGATCAGTTACATTGTAGCGCTTAACACTCTGTGACTCTTCAGCAGATCCCACACATGAATGCCTTCAGACCTGTCGGTCAGAGCAAGTAAGTCAAGCCGACGTTACCTTTGGGGAACAAAAGGTCTGCCGAACACAGGCATGGGACGTGCAAGAGGAACCATTTCTCTACGCATTGCCTTGATGCTTCTCTCCTCTTCCGCCTGCCATGAATCAGTGAGTCAGTCAGGCACACCAGGCATTTAGCAGGAGTCTCATGCCCAAACGTGACTTTCCTAGACTCGACTCAACGTGTTCCAAAGTCGAAACAAACCAATCGTAACGACGCTCGTAACCAAATTAAACCGAGCACCAGAGATTATCCAATTAACATATCCCACAGAGCATTTAGGAGAATGAACGGGAGAAAAACGCGCCAGACCGGAAACCTACCCTTCGAGCCGCTTCGTACTCTTCTCTGAACCGTTTGTACTGATTGTGCTTCTCTACCACCTGCAGTGCATCCATCATGCGGGAAGGTCAGCAGTGCTGTTAAGTTGTAATATAAAGCGATGTGGATATGTTTCTCAGAAGCAAAGCGCGTTCGTTCTGTCGATGAAAAGTACAGCGACTAAGTTTTTCTAACACTTGGACACGGTTCATGTACTGCCTGAGAGCCGTGACTCACCCTTTTATCAAAATCGGCCCGATCAATCGCTCGCGCCTCCAAGTGGAACTGGAATTCTTGCACCTCGGTAAGTGGTTTTCTTGATCGAGATGGGACGAACACAGGAGCACTGCAAACAGAGCACGATCGGCATGATTATCTTCGAGACGGATTGAAAACCTCACGAGAGGTATTCGATGAAAAGCAGCTGGTGGAACATTCGGAGCTAATGACAATTAGGTTGCACTCACGTGGACAGATTAGGCTGCGCTCGGAAAGCTTTGAGCGCCGCTTCCAGCTCCTCGGCTCTTCTGCGTTCCTCAGCAAGCCTGTGCTGCTCGTCCTCGTGGCGTATCAAACTTTCGAGCTGGAAAGGTTCAGGTCGAGTAACCTCTCGAGGTTCAGGCTTGGGAGGAATCTGCACGGAGTAAGTCTAGTGTTAGACGCCGGACGAACTAGAGATCCCATTTGGTATACATACAGGTAAAACTAACGAAGATTGAGGAAAAGAATTTTGTAAGTGGAGACGTTTCTAAATGAGTTTGATTGTCTTACGGCTGGTATGTCGGTTGTGAATGGCAGAGGATGAGCTCTAGGAATGCGCGCTTGTGACTCCTCGTGTTCGCGCTCTAAAATCTCTTGTAAGAACCTCATTTCCTTCAGTAGACCTCGATTCTGATAAGAGAAAACTCCAGCAGGTTTAGGATAACAATTATCAACCAGAATGACGATATTAAGAGCCTAAACTTTTGCACAGTCGGACAGTTAGTCTCCTTTGTCAATAGAAAGGAGCCACTGCACTGAATCCGCTGAAGGTTATGATGCTTCTCAAGGGTCACACCGGATGCTGTCGAAGCCCCTTCACGTACCTCTGTTTCAAGATGGAAAGGTTCGGGTACAGTGGGCCGGAGAATAGTCTCGTGGTGTTGTTGATTGATACACATCTGGAGAATGAGAAGGTACATTGGTGAGCAGAATTATCCAATTTTTCAACTCGAACAGACAGACATTGAAAAAGGTATTAGACAGGACAGCGGACGGAGTCCTAGAGGTCCTACTTTGCTAAATTGGTCAGCTAAACTGGCAGGATGCTCCCGGTGCTGTATCCGTTCATCGGTAGCGAAGTGGAACTCCTGCATCACACGTGACGGTCATCAATACCATATGGGAAAACAAAATTACTCAGTTGTAAACATGGGATAATCTGACGCAAACTTGCTTCTTGAGCTGCTCTGTTTACATAAAAGAATAATGCGCGTTAAACTTATTCTCGGCCGATTACAGCTAGAAAAGAATGCAGTTCAGTGCAATGGATGGATAGTGCTGGATCTTACTTGAGGTTGAGTTACTTCACGCTTATTATTCCGATAAACTCCCAGGTCTCCCCTACTGTCAAAAATCTGAAACAAGTGAAGAAAAGGCCAGTGAATTTTCGTTTACTTGCTGAATTTCAGGTTGATTCCCGATTATCTTACTAACTGGCAGCCACACCATCAACCTATGCATACAACAAGAGGACAAGTCTGCAAAAGTTTGCCTTACTCTTTTGTTCAGCGGTCGGGCCTTGAACTTTGGTATTCTCGCGAGTTCCTCAATCTCCAGCTGTTCTCTACTTTTCACACTGAAATCCATTTTGCACATGAGGTTCAAGTCAGAAGCAGCACTTCGGTAGAATACAATCTTGCGCTGCATATTAACTTCCACATCGTCAACCTAGAGCCCGACTGAGTAGATAAGTGCGACTCGTAGCTCAGATATCCAGAAGACGAAAATACTCACGTTAGCGGACGAACTCGAGCTGCCGTGTGCAGATGGGGAGGCTCTACTTGAGCACTGCCTCCGGGCGCTGACTTACGTCTTCTCTTGAGCTCGGCAGCCTGATACAACACAGAAAGTTGCCAACCCGCGGTTACATCCTAATGCTTGCCGTGCATGCATTGTATATTTTGTCAGTTCGCAACACTGGATAGGACTAGGAAGCAAAGAGGTGGAGAAATCTGTGTACCAGAGAGTCCGTTGATGTAGCCACAGAGGACCCTTGCCGAGTGTTTGTGTCCCTTGATTCAGTAGCTTTGTGTTGCAGAGCACGCTCAGTTGTTCGGAGGTGAAACTCCTGCTTACAGGGAAGGTGATGAGGGTTTTCAAAATCGGTGACTTTCGAGCCTAGCCGGGACGTGACACTCGGTGCAAGAATAATTTCAATGGCAATCTGATCACAGGCATAATGCGGAGAGGAATTACCTGAAACTCTGTCAGATGTGGAGTGGTCTTTTGTATCGTTGGTGGAGCATGTGGCTCCAGAATCTACAGGACGGAGCAGCTTGTTAGAGAAACAATTCCGGCTCAAAACAAATCATTCAACTTCAGACGATATGTGGGTCGAAGTGGCAACCTTCTTGGGAGCTGGGCGAGCTTTAAATTTCGGAATCTTCGCGAGCATTTCTTCTTCTAATTCGGCTGTACTTTTAACCCTGTCCAAAACGCCGTCGTGAGCTTCACATGTCAGTGGCTTGGCAGTCATGTTTCCCATGATTTGAACTTTTTACGTCTGGTGCGAAACAGGTAGCAACACGAGGGAGAAGGAGAGGAGGAGGAGAAGTTGGTGCACACGCAAACCTTATTTGTCGGGTCCTGTGTGATGTTTCGAAGTCGGGTGTCTTCGGTCTGGTCAGCTTCATTTTCCTCTTCTCGTGATCATCCTGGATTGTAAAGGAGGCATTGCCGGAGTCAGATTTTGATGCGACTGAAGGACTGAGCTCAAGACAGATTATCTACCTGTGGATATTGACTGCAAAGATCACCTTCAAAGGCAATGCGCCTCCTTTGAGGAGGCTAAAGCAGCGGAAATGTACACTCACAATATCACAGTGGCCTGCTGGGTTCACGTGGAAGCGCTCTGGTGTCTTCGTTTGAAATTTTCGAACCTTCTCGGCCATAGAAACAAATGGTGATGCAGCACGTCCACCCTGCGGAGAAACTTGGAATCAGAATGAGGAACACACAGCTGTGATTTAAATGCTTTCATCATTAACTAGTGGCTTTGCTGAACGCAGACTGCTCAAATCATCATCTGAACCTGTGCAGCTGCCGCACATTCGGTCCCGCCAAATAGACGAGATCGCTTGTCGGTGCAAAATTGAAATTCTTGGGGCACAGTGAGACCATTTTGCTCCTTCGGTCGAACAACGCGCTCCTTGATCTGGAATTACTCCACGACTTAGACATTGTTCGTATGCACAACAGTCAACCTTGTCCCTAGATTTTGAGAATCTACCAAATTGCACGAAGAATGCAAATTGAACAAGAACAACGAAGGCCGGCCATCTAACTTTCTATTTACCTGGCGCAGACGTCCTCCTTCAAGTTTTTGTTTCTTGTTGGCGGGATCATCTGGGCTGAGAAACCCCTTAAATCCGAAAGGAGTTTCTTTTTTCTTCGTGCTGGTCAAGTAGCGCCTGTGGAGAGAGATATGATTTTCATAATTCAAGACGAGAACTATCGAGCACAGCTTGTAGCCGAATCGGATGAGCAAAAAAGTCATGAAAATTCTATCAGTCTTGGACAGAATTCGACTGAGATATCTTCCTGAGATTTACCGAAGATGATGCACTTTCGGGCACGTAATTGCAATTCCCACAAACAAGACCGATGTAAACTACGCACTAATTAAAAGACGCAGTTTTTACCTCGCAGCGGAGGGCTTTTGGACCTTGGGCATGGTCGCAGTTCCATTGGCCTGGACCTCCTTCCAGCCATGAGAGTGCAATCGCTTGGCAGGAAGACTTCCAGGCGAGGTGGACAACGAGGGCATGACAGAGAGAGGTGTCCGCTCCGGGTTTCTGACGCCTCCATCTTCGTTCGTCTTCGGAGTGTTGGGCGAAACATCGGACTCCACAGAACCGTCCGACTCAGGAGCAGGAGCAGCTGCTGGAGGAACTGAAATCGCCGAAAACGGTGTACTGATCAGAACAACGGCAGGCGCTCCGTGCGTGCAATCAACCACGGGCGTGATGCATGGCAGAGCACGAGAAGCTTGAGAGCTGCGGGTGAAGGTTTGGTTGCAAGTATCTGTGGAAGCTAACCGCGATGCAATAGTGCATTTTTGTCTCCTACGCGATACTGGCATCGAATCCATTCATTCATTCAGTCTAAATGCTTCAAATGTGACCGAACATCGAGGGAAAAGACTTGATGTTTGCGGGGTAGCTATGGTCCCCGAAGGAATCATTGTATCTAGTGCTGCAGCGCCTACGCCCCGAACTTTGATCACAACAGTGGTAATGTCCTGATCCGGTGTTGAGTCCTGTACCTGATGATTGTTCATTGATCTTGTGGACAATACTCTCCTCCAATGTTTTACGGATCGCGCTTCCTCCGGCCTCACTGCTCAGAAGTCCAGACAGGTTCTTCACTGGAGTCTTCATGGAGCTGTGCGCAGATACAGGAAAAAAATTGCTCAATGCATGTGCGCGTCCACTTTACACCTCTTTAAACCATTGTTTGCATTGTGTACAAATTCTGGAGCAATATTCACAACACGTGATCATGTCAAGGCGATCAATGTACCTTGCATCTAGTTGATTCTCCTTATTCTCTGTTGGCGATCTGGCTTCGACGACCTTCGCAACCCAGCATACGAGAATGGAGTCAGTGGTGTGAGAACAGAGCAAATGATCAGTTCGGGCAATAGTTACATGCCCACCGATAACTTCTCGTGACTATTGAACAGCAAGTTCCACGTATCCTGTCATCGAAGAAAAATATTCAAGTATTTTTCAATCGTTTCCGAAACAGAAACAGTGATGTTGCAGGAGCGGTCGACACTCGGTCCGGGAATTATCCTCGTCATCGTTGGCCATCGTTTCCCGACATTTTCCAATGAAAGCGAGAGACTGATTCAGGACAGGAGAAGGTACTCAAACAGTAAGTAACCGAGAGCTATTTCTGCATGTGGCATCGTTTCATGACGAACTGACTTCACTAGTTCGACCGGTGATTACCTCTTCCATATCCTCATCATTACACTCGAGATTAAGAAGCTCCGCGACGGCCTTGGTTTTCCCCACATGCGCTGCAGACCAAAAAAGCAGCAACAAACTATCAGGCACTTCTGTCGCCACCATTGAAGAAAAAAAAAAGGATATGCAAGAAGGAAATTCCAGGCCTTTGGTCGAAGGGTCAGAAGCCAGTTAGGTTCAGAAAAGAAAAAGCACTGCAGAAAGGGTGGGACTCCCAACAGCTTCAAACATTGCGACTCCAATGCAGCTGAAAACATGCTCCGACCAGGGAGAAGTCACTGCTTTCTTACGAGATGCATCGTAGCTAGTCTCCGCCTCCAGCCACTTCTCTGCCGCGACTTTATCATCTTCTGTCTCCCCTACGATGAAGTCATAATATTTCGGAGCTTGAAACTCCCAAGCGGGATCAATCTTCAAGGCCTTCTTCTTCTCCGCAGCTTCTACTTCCATACCTCGGCCCACTGTCACCTGTTCTCCCATGCCACCCTCAGAGCTTGTAAATGTTCCTCCAGAGCTGCAGCTGCTCAGCTAACCTTGCTGCTGCTGGTGCTGATGATGATTACTAACTACTGATACGACCGCTACTACCACGAGTCAGTATTTTCCAGGCCAGCGTGTAACCACTTGGTCATATCCCTACTGCATGGCACAACGCGTTCACTCAATTTCTGCTTCAGGCCCATGCCTCGGGACGCCACGAATCCTGCCGCTCTAAAACACGAACAGCTCTTCTTCACATGCAATCTGGAGATCTGTACTTCTGCTCTGCTGGTGGATTGTTCTTCCGGCCTAATATGGGTCTCGCTGCCATCTACTATCTACACAGAACACATCCTCCAGAATGTCTTCATTGACCAACGCACTGAAAGAACAACAATGCAAGACTTCGTTAGAGCGTGTCGACGCGAGGAGAAAGGAAAGAAAGAAAGCTCCACCAAGAAAGTTCGGAATGCGACGTCAGAAACTCGTCTCGACGCAGAAGATGCTGGAGACAGAAGTGTCAACATGATTGGAGACGTACAGTGACCAAGAGAAGGGATCTACGAGAGCGTGAGCAACTGGGGAATCCTGGGAACAGCGCTCGTCTGGGATAAGTCCGAAGACATCGTTGGGCTCCGCACTATGTAGAAGTCAACCACGAAACACTTGAACTAGATCCGCGGAAGGTAAGCCTCTACCTCCGCGGGCTTGCGCTCACCAGGAAACCAGACGGAATCATCTCACTACGAGGCAGACGTAAAAGCATCGCCCATGAAAAACAGTTCTTTCCCTCTCCCAGTTACTAATTCTTTTCCCATGTCCGACGCAGAACAGCGTTCGGGTCTGCCAAAGCCTGAGCTCGCGCACGCAAAGCCTCTCGAAGCAACCTGAAATCAAGATGGATCGTGCTTCCGACGTTACCTGCGCATATCAGCCAGTTGAGAACGCACCCGGATCTCGATAGAATTCGCCGGTCGGACGGAGGCGATAAAAATTATGACGACGAAAAGAGACGGAATTGATCGCGGCTTTCGACCACAGAAACGCAGACAATCGAAACGAATTCGCGAGGAACAGAGGAAGCGGAGGGCCGCGCGTGAAGCAGTAGCAGAGAGAGGCAGCCTCGAGCGTTGAATGAAGGGAGCGCAAGAGACAGAGAGCGAGACGAGCGAGACGAGCTTCGAAAGCTAGCCGAGGGGGAAGGAGCGAAAGAGGAACAAATTTGAAACGTGGAGCGGGCAGCAATGGCGAACGGCCACCTGGACATCTCCCAACGTAAACATTGACCCTCCGGGCAGGGCAGCTCTTGGGCAAATTGAAAAACTATAGTTTATGTCGTCCGCTTCTGGCCTTCCGCCTTCTGTTTTACTGCCGCTACCGGATGTTCTAAACTGGGCACCACCAGTATCTGTCATACCGGCTTTTCTGCCGGGCCCGTGTTTTCTTCCTGGTCTGGTTCCCTCGCGCATTATTTTTTCACCGCTGCCCGTCTCCCGTCTTACCTCTCTTGGCCTCTTCTGCTCTTCTTCCCCCCTCTGACGCATTCGCTCACGAGCATGGGAGAATCTCCTCCTTTCATAGAAGAACATCTTGTGCAGCCGAACTCTTCAGTTATCTTGTGAGCCGAGCTTGGCAACAGTTCTCCGCCGGGATGAACGACAACGAACAACAAGAAAATGATTAGATGAGTTTATGAACAACTCCCAGCATGTGAGTTGCCCAGCTACAGGTACTGGACAAACCAAGGTGTGTTTGTATGGTCCGTTATTTTAAACTCAATCCTTAAGCCTTATCTCTCTCCCTAATCTGGCCATGCATGTACTAGCCCTACTCCGCTCTCTACCAAGTTCGATGAAATGTGGATGAGTGCGGAGGTGCTGAATATATTATAAGTGTGGCATCTTAAAAGAATATTCAATTCCATACCTAGTTCAATTGACTTTTCATTCTAAAAGTAATGATTACAACTTCAATTTTTATGTCAGGTTAGTAAAACTACATTTTCAACATTCTACTGAGCTTTGTAGAATGTATAATCTGTATTCGAAACTTAATAGTTAAGTATTAGAAAAATTAACATATCATTCATGAAATCAAATAACTGTAACAAGAGAAAACTTTGTTTGAAGAATTAAACATTTTTTCATTAGTTTCATTAGTTTTATAGTTGAAATTTCATTAACTACTTTTAAAAAATTGAACCATGGAACATAAGGAAGCTTGATGATAATCTTGTTATACTCATCAGCTTGTTGTGTACTCATCAGCTTTTAATTATTGCATGCATTGACAACCTTTCAGGAAATAGAAAATCTAATTATATTTCTTTTAAGAACCTTTACAACTTTATAAGTAAATTAATTTATAAAGATTTATGAAAAACATGGAAGTAGCTAAAAACAATGTCTCAATGACTGAAGTAGAATAAATGTTAAGCTAACAAGGAAAAAGTTGTACTGATGATTATAAATATTATGCACAAAAGGAGCTTAAATTCTATCTTTTTATTGTCATGAAGTTGAACTATTAGAAGATTTTACTTTTTTTCCAAATTTACTAAGATCCAAGATATATTTCAGCTTCAAGATTGACAAGAGATAATATAGTAAATATATTTATTAGACGTTATAATTGATGTATGAAACTTGCTTATGTTTTCGATACAGAAAGGTGTTTTTATCCAAAATTGATGTTAAACACTTTGAAAGATTTTCATGAATCATTTTTCAAAAAACTAATAATACGTTCTCATAAAAGCCAGAGTTCCTTCTATTAAAGTTTTGCTACGCCCTGTCCTACAGGACTTAGGCTAGGCATTTGAGATATAACCTTTACTTAAATGATATAAAGTTAAATACCGGAAAAAAAACATTACAAAATTTTATGTATCATGGAGACTATGTGATCAAGATTGGCTTTATGCTCTTAAGAGAATAAACAGTTCTAAACGGCACTCGTATATATGTACTAGAGTAGCATGGAGCTTATTTTTTATATTTATTGACAATCCTTAATTATAGTTTGCACAGTATTTAGCGAATGTACTTAATACTCACGGAAAATGAGGAAGGGTTACATTATTTGCGGGGTACATATATCGGAGGGAGGTATGATTATACAAAAACTTCTTTCACAGAGCAAGGCCCGGATACGGAGCGACGCTTCGTGCTCCTTCATGTACTTGACCTCTGATGGTGCCCCGCTCACTTTAACTAAATCGAAGCTTGATTGTATCATGTATCCTATGAATGAGGGGATTGGAACCCAATGATTTGCATTATGTTCTATAGATAGTTTTGTTCTATTCTTGGTGTTGGGTTGTAACAGGAAAACAAACAGAGGGGTGAATGGGATTCTTGTTCTTCGAAATTCATTTTTTGTGGTATTCTCATAACAGGTTACTTTTACATGAATACTTTGATTTTCTGTAAATGACAAGATAGAGTTTCAATGCATCGTCGGACCATTTTAATAAATGTAATTTATCTATTGGTTAGCATGTTCCAATATACCACCTTGCAAGTGGTAGAAGAGAACAATAATAAACCATTAATTCAAAGGCGCTCCAAATTTCTCTAATGGGCCGGCACTTAATTATATTTTCCGTGCTCTAACAGTACAAATTGTTGCTGGAATGCTCAGAATCTCTGAAGGGAACTACTTTAACGGTATGCATCATGGCTTAGAACCTTTTATATTTGAAAAACCTCGGATGAGTTAAACATAGTTCAATTTAGGCCGCAGAATGAAGAACAAGGTTCAACGTGGGATAAAAAAAAAGCTCACTTGAGGCAGAGACAAGGACAGTGTTCAAACGTCGGATTAAATAGAGTTCACTTTAGGCTGCAGAACTGAGGACAAGGTTCAAACTTCCGGTTCAGTAGAGTTCTCTTTAGGCTGGAAAAATGAGGACAAGGTTCAAACTGCCGGTTTATGGCATCGGAGATGTGTTTGGATAAGGCACAGCGCCACACACCGTGTTGCGAAGTGACACTGTAGGCGCCAGAATCTACAGCATGGAACACAAAATGCGACATGTCTGACCATCGGCGGGTCCCGCCAGGAGCCTTGCGTTGATGACCGTGAATGTCACTTCCCATGGCCACGGAAGAAATTACCGTTTCGAGAGGGCCATAAGGGTCAAACGGCAATCACCCGTGCACTTTTCCCCTGCAACTGCGCGGATCGTATGTGGACTACTCGGTGCTGGCGGAGGAAGAAGTGGCTGCCCGAGGGTACCACATCTGCCGAGTCTGCAGCGAGCTCTGCGTGATGAGGCTCGATGGAGGGAATGTGTTCTGGGCCACATCGCTTACCGAGTAGGATATCGTAAAGAGAGAGCGTAAATTTGTACAGCCGGAGTCATGGACATCATGGGGAGACCACGATGGCCCATGCACCACAGTCGATCCGCATTGTACCGCCGAGCATGATCCTCGTATTAATCACGAATTTCCTGCTGACTGCGAAGAGCTTTCGGAGTTTCCATATCTGTCTCTGGCTGTCACAACGACGAGGCGAAGGAGCATTGTCAAAATTCGCCGTTTTCAATACGACAGAGTCCCACAGAATTCCCATCTCGTCATGGGAGAATCAGCAACATCCACATCAGCATGGGGGGCGGCCCACCGGCTCGGCGGCGGAGGTCCGGACCCCCACGGTTGCTGGGCTGACGATGAAGCTTGGGACTCGACCGAAAGGGCACTGGATGGCGGGCTGCCGTCGTTGGACCCGTCCGCCTTTGCGTTGCGGGCACGGGATCTGACCAGCTCCCGTCAATACTCTTCTGTTTTTCGCCACGGGCAGAGATGGGATTCATCGTCTACATGAGAGCAAGCAAGATGAATCATGAGGAGTTTTCAGATAGGCACTACGTAAACTGAATACCTTGAACAAATGAAATAAAACTCACGCGCTTATCTACTCATAAACTTGTGCACGATGCGAGTACGTGTAGAGAATTATAGCAATACATGATGAGGAAGTAAGAAGAAAATTAAGTTTTTACTAGTAGCTATATTTTGATATTAGTAAGATACTAAGTATATTGAACAATACTTAGATTTGTTGAGGGGGCGGCTAGTTATGCTCACAAGCGACTCATTAGCCATCACCCTACTATACGTACGTAAGTCATTGGTGCGATCGGGCTATAGGGTCTGTGTGGTAAAAAATAAATTTTGCGTGTTTTAGTCTTTCTAATCGACGTCAATGATTCCAGGGTGTCAAAAGCCACAGAAGAATCCTCACTACACCTCCGCATTCGAGTAGCCACATCAAGGTTCTTGGTAGCGGAACCGGGCTTAATTGTGCGTTCGAACTCGTTGAAACATCTAGCATCTAAAAATGCTTCGATGTTTCCGTGTCGATAAAGGAGCACATAATTTCTTAGCAACCGTCTTAGGGATTGACACGTTCACTCGCCTGCGACAAGTTACTCGAATTAAAAAATAAAATCATCCAATTGCATGAGCTTGCAGACGTTGAAACGTGATCAATTGCATCAGAGCCTCACGTCTTCCAAGAAAATCACCCAATTGAAACCGCTTCTAGAGAAAAATCTATTCAAAGATAGATTCACACTCGAAAGATGTAAGTACCTCATTTCCTCGAGATATCGCTGCATAATACACGAGACTATACAAATCCAGCTCTGCATCAGAGTGGACGTCGAATCGTCCCATACACTTTCGCTGAAGAGCTTCCAAGGATTGAAACGATTCAATGCATCTCTCTTAAACGTGCATCAATGGCCACAGCTCATAAAATGGTCTTTGCTCACTATTTGATATACACATAGGATTTCATCTACACGTGCAAGCGGGAAATTGAGCTCGCTTAAAGCAATGATATCGACGCGTTCGCATTGAACACCAATGTCTAAACATCACTTGTGATGATCAGAAATTCGCACCAATGAGCCCGTTTGCGCTGCTATGAACCTTGGCGTGGCTACTCGAACGCGGAGGTGACAGTCAAGCTTCTTTTGTGATTTTTGACACCCTAACATCTTTGACGTTGATTACAAAAGACCAGAACTCGCAAAGTTTACTTTAGACCACACGGAACCTATAACCTAATCGCAACAATAACTGACGTTAGTATAGTATTATGTGAGTGATAATTAGCCGCCCTCTTTGTTGATTATCTATATATATATTTTTTTAAATAACTAGCATATGATGTTGCATTAGGTAATGTGATGTGCAAACTCTTAGAAATTTGGATTAGTATTTGAAATACATAGAAAAATAGTTACACCATGTAGCTTAATACTCGTATTCCTAAAC